CCCCCTCTGACTAAAAATTTGAAATAACAGATTTTTATTGAACGGATGGATTTTGATCTGACTTTGATGATTCGACACAAAAAAAAACATTAAAATGTATATAACCCCTTTTCAAATCCGACTGCTGTCTAAGGGTTTCGATGAACCTTGGTAGCATACCATTCTTTAACTAAACAACCCAAGCCGGGTCTTCACAGGGTGTTTTTTGTGTGTTTGTGTGCTCTCAGGATCCTTGAAGCTGCACGATGCTCCCATGTTACAGACGCTGGCTTCACTGTGCTTGCCAGGGTGAGTTTCTGTCTCTTCTTCTTGTTCTCTTATGTTGGGTCACGTTCAATATTTCTAAATTTGAATGATTTCTTTATTTTCTTCACAGAATTGTCATGAGCTTGAAAAAATGGACCTAGAAGAATGTATTTTGGTAAGGCAATTGGCAGTTAACTCGTTATATATTGATGTTAAATCTGGAAGAAGTCTTTGCTTTACTCATCTGGGTTAGAGAGTGACACTTTGGAGAGAGACATGCATTATTCTGGGAATTGTGGGTAGATGAGGAAGTAAAAGAAGAGAGCACTTGTTTTAATGAGCTCTGGCTTAACAGTTGTGTTGTGCATGTCCTCTGCCAAAAAGGACTAATAAACTTAACTAAAAAGCTATTGCAGGATACAAAGTCAACTCAAACATACAACACATGCTTCTAAAAACTATGAATTATACATGAGATGTGAGACTAAAAATCAATCTGGTCCCCTCCTCAGGTGACGGATAACACCCTGGTTCAGCTGTCTATCCACTGCCCGCGCCTGCAAGCCCTGGTAAACATTTACAGTTCTGCTATTATCAATGGTTCTTTCTCCTGCCTTCGTGAATGTGTGTGAAGCATGAATCCATCTTTCTGTGTGTCCTCTGCAGTCTTTGTCCCACTGCGAGCTGATCACAGACGATGGCATCAGAGCTCTGAGCAGCAGCACCTGTGGACAAGAGCGCCTCACTGTGGTGGAGCTGGACAACTGCCCCCTCATTACTGATGTGACCCTGGAACACCTGAAGAGCTGCCATCGCCTGGAGCGCATTGAGCTCTACGACTGTCAGCAAGTCACCAGGGCGGGTATCAAGCGTATAAGGGTCAGTGGAAATCAAAAGGAGATTACTTTTTTTATAGCTTAGAATTGGTCTTGTTTGGAATACTAACAGGAATGTGTTTTAATCCTCTTCCATAATGTTATATAAATATATATAATACTGTGGTTATATACCTTGGAACTTCACTTGTTTCTTGAGGACATCCATACTTGTATTCATATGTACAACCCCAGGTTCTAAAAAGCTGGGAAGTTGTGTAATACGTAAATAAAAACAGAATGATAAAAAAATGATATTTATTTGAAAATAGCAAAGACATATCAAATGTTGAAATTGAGAAACTTTTTTTTGGTGGTAAATGATATACTAATTTGAATTGGATGTCAGCCACTTGTTGTTAAAAGTTGGGACAGGGTCGCTCAGCACTGTAAGCGTTCTGGAACTGAGGAGATTCATTTCTTCAATTTTGAAAGTGTCTGTTTTCCCATTCTTGCTTGATGTAGGAGTTCAGGGGTTCAACAGTTCAGCATCTCCTTTGTCTTGTTTTAAGCTTTATTTGCTCCCACAATTATTCAATGGTGGCAAGTCAGGACTGCAGGGTGGCCCGTTTATCACTTGAACTCTTTTACTTCAGAGCTATGCTGCTGAACTTGTGATCGGCCAGAATGTGGTTTGGTATTGTCTTGCTGAAATAAGGGAGCCGTTTCCCTGAAAGAGAAGTTGTCAATTTGGACTCTGAACGTATGTTGTTGGACAATCTGGGATGCTCTTTTTAAACTCAGTCACATTTTATTTACATTTTATGCAACGTCCCAATTGTATTTGCTACATAACAGGTTATGACCAGCAGCTGGTTAGCATACCGGTAGCTCTGCATGAAGACAGAAATGAATGGGAAATACAGCATGGCTGGTTTTGTCAGAGTCTCCACTACAGAACCTCTAAGAGTCACTAATAATATATCACCATACGTTTGTTAAATATGTTTAAAGTGTAGTTTGAAATTAGGTGCACAAGTTTTTTTGCTGTCTTCCTGGAGAATTTACTGTTAGCCTCCAGACTGTAAGGTAACTATGGTCCGATCCCAATCTCCATCCTAAAGCCTGAGCACTGAACCCCAATAGACTTAAAAGACCTAATGTGTTTAGTGTGTTATGGTGTTAGTCCAAGAAAACTAACACCATAACACACTAAAATGGCTTAAAAAAAATAACAGGATGGGACAAAGTCATGACATCACATCACATATTGCCTGGAAACAAATAAACAAATGCGGTATTCCTGCAGTATACAATCTTTTGAGTTCCTGAAGTACTCAAAAAATGTACTTTCTGAACATCAAACTGGTCTTTAAAGGACAGAAGAAAATACCTGTAATGTTGTTTTTTGTGTGCTTTAACTATTTACATACTTGTATTAACACACCTTATCCTCACACAGGCCCACCTTCCAGAGATTAAGGTCCACGCCTACTTTGCCCCTGTGACACCCCCTCCCTCTGTACATGGAGGTGGCCAGCGTCTGTGCCGCTGCTGCATCATCCTCTGACAGTGGAGGGCCAGGGGGGGCCACCTCTGTCTACAGGTCCTGCTGCTCTGATTGGGGCTGAAATCGGGTATGGGGTGGGGGACTTGGGTAGGTGAAGGGGAGAGGAGGGGCTGGACCCACTCACTGCTCCTGATCACTGATCACTACATAGACTGATTGCCACTGATCCCTGATCAGCTGGACCCGCCCCTCCTCTCTCCTCTCGCTCAATGATCAGCCACAGCTGCCCCCTGGGGTTTGGGCATGGAGGGGTGGAATGAAAGAAGATGGATGGACTCCCTCTTTTTCTCTTCGGTCTCATTGTTTCTTCCACGCTATAAAGAAAAACACAGGCTCTCCACGCCGTTCTGCTCCACACACCCCTGATTCCTCATCTGTGGGTGGAGAGGACTGCACCTGGACAGCTAGATGTGGATGAGAGGGGTCTGAACTATGGAACCACAATGCATCATGTTCAAGCTTAAAAAAAAACAATGATATTGTCATCTTGGACAAGAGTTTGCTCATCTCAACCAGTCACATGACACCTCTATGTGACCATCCTGTGATTCATTCTGCTTTTACCAATAAACACCGAGCATGGAGGTAGAGGAGAGCTGATTAAAAAAAACAATACAAAACGGATTAATATGAGACGCTTCGGCACAGCCGGCTGAACTCTCCAGCGTGGAAGAGTCAGGATTAAAACAGGACATACAGAACTTGAAATTTGACATACTTGTGCATCTGAGAAACTTTTTGTTGAGATGTCGATTCTGTTCGTACAAAGAATGTTTTGCAATGGGAAAAAAAAAAAGAATCACAGTAATGGCCACTCACTCAAAATTGGAGTAGGCCAACAGAAGTCGTTTTCTTTCTGTTCAGTGCTTATTGTAAATGTCCATGCCTGTGTCATTCTTTTTTAAAAGGAAAATAAGAAACTGTTGGACCTATGATTCAGACCCTCAGTGTCTAAAAGCATTATGTGGGCTCTCTGTGCTACTGGGATGAGAGGCCTCTCCTGTGTATTGATGATTATGTTGGTTTGTAGGCCCTGATCCAATCCTGTCAGTAGCCCTGTGCACTAGCTCCTACCTGACGACTTAAGCATTTGTTTACATCCTGGATTAGCTTAGCACTACAGACAAACTTGTTTACATGAATAGACCTCCAGTCTCCCTAGTGTTTAGAGCAAGTTTAGTGACACTTTTTACAACCGTGGTTTACCCACTGTTTAATACTGGACTGTGGAGTAAGTTATTTAAATTTTTGAGTGTGTATTTCAACATCAATCAGGGCTAAAGGTGCAACTTTGCTGAAATGAAAACCTGCTTAAAGGTGAGAGTTTAGTTATGACATTGTAAGCAAATGTACCTCAAGGTTATGACAATCATGTGAATTACTGTATTTCAAATTTGGTGTAGTTTTGTGTAATTGGCAATTTGTTGATGGTGTAGAATATGATGAATTTTCTGTGCTCTACTTACCTAATGCCCCAAGCAGCACATAAGGAACTTTAAAAACATACGATTTGCAATTGGTTCGGTGAGATCCATCAATCTTTGATGTTTTAAATTAATCAGCGGCGGTTTTCCACTCACCAAATCATAGCTCAAATGCATTTAATGTAATGCTTAAAAAAAACAAACCAGTTTATTTCACTCTAATCAGACAGTTCTTCCAATCAAGATGATTATGCATAGCCAACACATTCATCTGCATGAACTCCTAGTCTGAGAACTGATGTACAAAAGAAAAAGTTGCAACATTGTGCTAAAAAAAGACTGGCAAATGTTGTGTAGTTGCCAAGTGCTCAAAGACTGGGGAGACTGGCAGGACTATGGATAGGACTGAAACAAGGAGAACAGAGAACGTCTCAGATGGACTCATAAACATAGCTGACTTGACTGGCTGTGATACTAATGCCCTCTCTTTGACTGCTGTTTTAACAATTTTATGTTTAAGAAAATAAAGAAATAAATGAAAAAAATAAACAAATGAATAAATAAAAGTGACTAATAGTAAACGTGCTTTATCTCTAGTGTGAGATTTGTGTATCCAAGTGTTCAGAACAAGTGAACTGCGGCAAAGTGGATAGAGGCAACGCTGCAGCTAAACCGCTAGATGTCGCTCAAGGGCCGTGAAGACAGCAGACACACCCACATCACCGGAGCGCTGGATTTGATCCATGAACGTCAAAAATACTTGTGTAATAATAATTAATGACAGAAAGTCTAATTTGACTTACTACTGGTTCTTCCATCTACCTATTTGAGTAAACTCGGGGTCCATATTACGCTCAAATAGCATTCAAAATATTCGACATTTTTAGCCAGGCATCGTGTTGGCTAGCTGTGCGGTGCCTGAAGACCCATCGGCCTGATCGTTGCTCGGTTGCGCCCCCTGATAAACTGCAGTCAGTCACCGGCAGCGCGCAGGCTTTTAGCGCCTCTTAACTCTCTTAATATTAGCCGCGTTTATTCCTGGATTAAAGAGAAGCAGTCACTGGAGCCGAGGCCTCATTTTGAAAGTTTTGGTGCAACTTTCCCACTGCATGAGTTGACAGCAGAGAGCAGACTTTCCATCCTGTGGTCATGAAAAGCGGAGCGGAGCCAGGCGTCAGGCCTGCGGGAAAACAACGTTAGCTACCGGAGCTAGCTGTCTGTCGTTGTTTAGGTCGCTGTGCTAACCAGCTACCTGCTGTTTTTGTTAGCATAACAGATAGCCAAACCAGAGTTCATAGCCTGTTTTTGTCGCGGATATATCGTAGGAACCCATCGGGGTCCGCTACAATCCAATGTTTCCAGAACTTTCTCGAAGTTTTAAGTTAATATTCAGAGCTAACGTGGTAAAGAAAGAAAGGAAGCTAACGTCTTTGTCATAACATTACAAAGTTGAGCTTTTGATTCAGATAGGATGCTCGATGTGGAGAATTGATTTATATTTTCTAAAAGGAATTGCGTGTTGATGATCAAACAGCATTTATACGCAGTCCAAACCGCCTCCACGGGATTACAGCTCAAATCTTTTTCCGACTCCGTCCTCCCCTCCTCGGTCTTCTGTCCTCGGCCGGCTTCAGGTGCTGGCCCCTGAGTGCCCAATGGAGGAGCATGACAACATGGACTATTTTTACCAGCAGGTACTGCAGAAAGATGTTACCCGTAGGCTGCAGGTGGGTCAGGACCTCATTGACTACCTGAACGACCCACAACGCTCCCAGGACGTGGAGCAGGACAAACCCCGGCTGGATAAGACCGTGGACGAGTTAACGGGATGGGTGAACAGCAGCAATTACAAGGTGAGACATATCAGCCGGTCATTGTTTGAGGCTATCGCAGTGTCATTGCAGCAGTCACCCTCTACAGGAGATGGAAGAGTAACAGAATATAATTACTTTACTGATCCCAAACTGGGAAATTGTTGCGTTACAGCAGCAGGTTATCAAACACACAATATGAGTAAAAAACCACTACGTTAGCAAATTTAAACACAATATAATATTAAATACAAAGTAAATAAGTACTAAAAATATAAAAACTAAGAATGTGAATATATACAACCAGGATTTAACTAAGCATTACTAGTCTTAAATATGGAAGATTGAATGTAAATGTGCAAGAACAGAGTCATAAATGGTTATAAATTAAATATGAAAGATTAAATGTAAATGTGCAAAAACAGAGTTGTAAATGGACAGTATTGACATAAGTTAAGTTGCATGAGTGTAGACATATTATAAGCAGAAACTATACAATATAACAGCGAGTAGACAGACAAATGAAGTGAACATGAGTGCAGGGATAATTGTATTTTTAACATGTGCAGAACAGATTACAGTAAAGGAGAGACAGATATTATCATGATGACAGTTCTCTGCTCACATGAGGTGAGCTGTTGTACAGAGTTATGGCCTTTCGGTAAGAAAGATTTCTTGTATCTGTCCTTGTGACAGCGGAGTTGTATCAGTAATGGCAATTTAATGTTATTTGTGAGAGGTACGTTTCAATTAGAGAACAACAACAGAGAAAAGGCATTTCAAACGAGCTGTCACCAGCTCAGAGTAATAAAGGGGACATCCATGTCGTTGAAATACATAGTTTATTAAACTGGCTGTCCCTTAAACCTCAGGCATGGCAAACACAACAGCATCTTATTCGCATTTTATATAGCAATTCTTTAACATATAGAAACAGCTTCCTTCTCAGAGCCTTGTAGTCTTTTCTTGGATCACAAGAGGAATAATATTTAAATTAATTAACATGTCAGAGGGACGAATGGTCATGGTTCTGAAGAATTAATATTGTTTGCCTCAGACTGTCTGTGTTAAGGGGACCCATTGTCCCCTTAACACGACTGTAGACGACTGAGCCCTGGATGGGATGGGGGAAGGGTCAGAAGATTCATTGTTGTGACCTACTGTATGCTTTCCCTTCATCCATGCTTATTTTTTTCACTCCTTTTCTCTCACTCATAAACACACACACTCTCTTAACCGCTTATTTTCCCCTTTCACATCATATCTCTTCTGTCCCCTGCTTACTCTGTGTGTATGGTCCCTTGGTCTTTGCCATACAAAAGAAACTGGGGAATGTGAGATTTTTCCTAGGCTATCAAACTGATCCAGATAAGTTTAAATAGTCTCAACCTTTTTTTAGGTATGCTGATAATTCACTCCATATTCTCCTTTTGAAATGACTAACTTTGCATAGATCTGAAGGACGCTGTTAGTAGATAGAGGAAATTGTGTACTCAGCATAACAAAAGCATCACCCCCTTGTCTCGAATTCTAGTCTTAGCAATTTTCCATTGGATATGTTTTGTAAAAGGAGTATTTTTAAATGTATGCCGACATATGAGCAAACCATTCAGGTATTTCTTTGAAAATTAATGTTGAAAAATGTTCGATTTCCATCATTTTCACTGAATCATGACAGTTTCATGTTCTTTGATTCAGTCATCTCTTTCAATTTTGTTAAATCCTATAAAATGACCGATCAGAACAAACATATTGGATTTGAAAAATGACCATCACCTCCCATAAATCCACCACCAAGGGATGCAACGATTATAGATTTTGACATCCAGATCTGTGAAATAATTCCGATTTCACGGTGATCTCGATTATTTTTTGCATTAACTCCACAACACTACTAATTTATAAAATCACATTAATGGATTATGAAAATTAAACATGATACTTATTGCTGTAATTTTGAAGACAGAAATAACAACGTAATCAAATATTCCAGTACAAAGCACTGGAAACTAGTTGGAGTTGACTCTAGTTGAAACATAAAAAATAATTTAAGTGATAATGAATCATAGTCTATGTCCTTTTGGTGTTAAATATAAGATAAATCTTATGTACCGTATATTCTGTTTAAACTAAAAATGCAGCAAAGGCTTCATTTTTCCCATCTGGTATTTTAACTTAATGAGTGTTAACTGCACACAGACGTTTAATAGACGACATGCAAGGAATACTGCTGTTTGTTTACATTACACTGAAGCCAAACTGTCACCACTACGCCATTTGTTGTAAGTGACACATTTATATTTCATTCTCACCAACTTGATGTTTCATTGAATAACTTGCCACTAACGTAATGTCCTCCGATAAGGTGCCAAACAAATCGAGTTTGATGTGTAGATACAAAGCTTGTTCCCTCTGCCATAGTAAAGCTAATGTAGTGTAGCTTGATGAAGACAGCGCGTTTAGCTGATGTGCAACAGCTTCCTTATGTGCAGGTTGCATCAAAACTAATATTCTGCCTTTTTTTGAGAGTTAGAACACACACACGATTTAGCCGAGTCTCTAGGATTAATTAAACGCTAAACTGGTTAACCACGTCATCCCTACCACCACCAAGAGTTTCGTCAGAAGAAGTTTAAGGCCTTCGTGTGATTTGTTCTTTTATCTGGGTGACAGATACAGTAATCTGAGCTCAGGTCAGTGTCAGACGTGATGAGTGAGCATGTTGTGACCCCCAGAGGCCCTTGCATAGCAGGCTTTTAGTGATGCTGATTTGCTCTCTGTCAAGTGAGAGGAAGAGGACTCAGCTGTTAAGCGGTATGCTGAGTCAGTGCAAGGGGAGGGAAAAAATGGCGGGCTGATGTAGAGTTGACAAGAGGCTGAGGATGAAAGAGTAAGATGGAAAATCAAGAACTGCACTGATAGATAGGGAATGGTAGGTGAGCGGAAAACACAAGTCATGATTCTTAGAGATATAAATGCTTGAAGAAGGCGACTGTCGCACCCAAGTTCCTCTTTTAGGACTGGATATGATCCTGTATTTCATCTGTCTGGGGCTCTCTTCATCTCTGTTTCCTTTGTCTCTGTCTGGGTCTAGTTTTTGACAGTGAGTCAGTTTAAGTCTCTTTCTTTCTTCTTTCAGTCGGTATAGCAGCAGATTCACTTTATGCACGCTGCTCTCACTAAGTCACAAAGGCCCCAGTGCCTATGTGAGATGCTAACAGAGGGCATTAATATTGTATAATGTATTAATGGGCAGCAATGGCAGATTACTGAACACTGGCTGGACTGATAGAGGGCTATTTCTGCCAGCAGACTGATGTTAGTGGTGGACGGTAAACTAGTATCAATACGAAGACACAACATGGTTTTTCCCATACCGTCATTAATGGTTTAAATACAAACATTTGGTTGGTAGTGCACTCACAAGGCAATATCGATTGCTCAACCTACCGACCACCGTGGTGGGTAAATAAATGAAGTGTTAAAATTTGGATTTTTGACGGACAACAGCTCATATTGATTGTAAACAATAATAACCGTTTCTATCTGTAGAATTTTGCTTGTATTTAAAACACATGCTAGTAGACCAACAACTCTGTTTGTTTGAGCTTTGTGTAGGGGAGGTGGTTGTCATCTGTTAAAGAGAGGGGGAAACCGATTAGAACAAAGCTGAAAGACATTTCTGACAAAAAATGGTAACAGGAAGTCAATTTTGTTGGCATTGATTGTTGCTCTGCTGGCAACCCCCCTCATTGGACCTTCTGTTTTTGCCTGAGTGTTGAAGAGTGATTCTAATTTTAAAACCTGAAACTCACTTTATTTAGTGTCTTTATTGGTTTAATGGACCAAGTTCATCTTTTAAAAGGAACCTCTGAGTATAAGAATGAGTTAAACACCTCCTAAACAATAGTATAAGCACTACACTGATGCCCTAGAATAGAACAATTCTTGGTGTGTAAGTTAAGGTGTCTGTAGCTCTGTGTGCGAATTTGTGTGTTAACTGTATTATGTATTGCAATTTCAACTTTGTTCCTTTGAATTTCCAAGAGCAGTTGACCCTTAAAGAGACATAAAAAGGAGAATCTGATCAAAGCTGGTCAAAAAAGCATTCCAGCAGTAATATGTTTCAGCTTTCGGACATTTTTGGTGTTTTTTATTTTTTTTTATCATAAGTAGATTAGATATGTAGCTCCCAATCTGTTGACATCATCATCATCACTCATGTTGGGCATCACTTTAAGCAGTGCTATGGGCCAACACAAAACCTCTCATGTTATAAATGTGCCAAGGCTTATAGGGCAATAAAGTAGCTCAATGTAATCTGCCGTTGGATGAACCATAGCCATGTCAGCTCTTGCTTTGTAGGAATAAATTCCCTGCAACAGTGCAACAATTTGCTTTCTACCTACCTATTGCGCATGACCAAAGAGATGAAAATGAGTGTAAATTTAGCCACACTGCCTGAGAATGGACTTCAACATACATATACTGTAGGACTCTTTACTATGCCATCAGCGAGTGTAACATGTATTTTAAATTATGATAATATATGTATTTTAGTTTGATCAATATATATTATTTGTCAAAAAGTGAAGACCACAGGGCCAGGGGTGCCATGCTGGATATTTACTAAACCAAAATATTCCATCTAAAATGATTATGAAACAGTTTAAAACAACTCATCCTAGTTTTCAGAGTTTTTAAGTAAACCCAGCAAATGATTAAGAGTTTTGCTTGATAAATCACTAAAAGTTAATCGGTGTCTTAATTTGTTGTTGCCTAATTTCTGTCTAACTCGCTTTAATGGGTGAATGGTCCAACTGTTTCAGCCCTTGTCTCACTCTTGTGCTCATTTCAGCTGCTGCTGTGAGTCTAAGACCCTGTTTTTCTGTCCAAGACTCACTTTAAGCCTCTCTAGAATCCAGAGTAATACCTGTACATGGTATGCCAATTAGCAGGCTGAGCCACCATTCTGTCATCACAAAGAACCATTCATACTGAGGAGGTCAATATTGACCTTTTTCACCATCAGCATACCTCAGCTGCTCTGATGATATAAAACCTGCAGAGTAGAGATGCTTTAGCATATGTGCCAAAATAGACGCTGTTTGTCCTTGTGTTTTTTTATTTTGGGTGATACCCAAGTGCCCTGTTGACATGTTTTTTACCTTCAGTAGGCCAATTCTGACTTTATTCATGTTGGAGGCCTGTTCAAAAAGAGAAAACATCTCATCCTTTTTATTTTTTTCCCCGTTGAAGGTGATTTGTACCTCCCATTCCTTGTCTCCTGCTCTCTTTCTCTCTTCAAGAAAAGATGCCATATGGTAGTGGGTGCCAGGCTTGTTGGGGTGCTGGGTGGAGCAGGGGGGAGGGGTAGGCCTTCCAGGCAGTTTTCTTCCTGTACTGTTTCTTTTTTCTCCTGCTGTTTTCCCTCCCATCCTCCACCTTAAATTAGGTCAGTATGTTGGAGTCATCATGACCCCGAGCTCATGTTCCTTCTTCAGGTGATTTTTTTTGTTGTTGTAGTACTTAACCATCGATCATACATTTTACCTCATCACCCTCATCCTCCCCCCCTTTTTTTATTTCTTTAGTCACCTAGCTCTGCTCTCCCTTTGACTAAAATAGGGAAAAAACTGCAGTCAACCAGTAAGAGCAGTTTCAGAGTTTAGCGTTTTAGTGGATTCTCTCTTTGGACTGTTCAGCGTTACAGCAGCTCTGCCAAAACAAGCATTCCAGGAGTACAGCGCAGTGTGGGATGTGATCCTAATCAGAAACACAGTGGAAAACTCAGCTTCACCAGCAGACACAGCTCCAGACTACCTTCCCCTGAAGAGTCATATCACAGGCATATTTTTCTTGTATGACAGAACCAGATGACGTTGTGAATGTATTTCATGAAGTTTCCACTCAGTGTCACCTCAACATTTAACTCCACAGATAGATTCAGCAAACGCGCTGATTCCCAAAAGTCTCTAGATTTTTACCAAATGTCTAATGGACGTGTGCTTCAATTAGCTGCTGTTATCCAGATGGTATAAGAGGACACAACAAAGTGTTACGTAAGTGCTACAGCTGTTAGATTCTGAGACTTTTTTCTGATTACTAGAGCGTCTTCTCTTTCTCCATACGAACACATTTTCAACCTCAGCCAGGTACCACACTTAAGGAAGTCCTTACTGACACTTTAAAGTCCACTCATTAAGTAGGGCTGTGTATTGGTATGATTTTTACATGATACAGTCACAATACAGATGTTCATAATATTGCAATTTCTTATACTGAGAACAAGAGGAGTTATTGTGACTTTTGACAAATCTTATTTCAGGATAATTGTATGGTACACAGAATAAACTACAAAAAAATGAAACTGTTGAAATGAAATTGCATTTAATACATTTTGGCTCTGCCTTTGTGTTAATAACAGTCCCTGTAACATCCAACATCAATACACTTATCTTTCTGCGGTCTGAGCAAGAGGAAATCCAATTTGCATATAGCAGTAAAAAATATAAAATCATACTTTAAGAACTCAAAATTAAATATCCTCTGAGGTTTTATGGTGATGATGCAAACTCATGTGTATTGGTATGTTTCTAGACACCTTCTTAAAGCTTCTTGTTGTTTTTGAAGCTTTCCACGCTTTTTGTCAATGTATTCAGCTGGCAAGGCAGCGGTATATGGATTTTTATTTGTACATTCAAACTTAAAGCAAACCAAACAGGTGGATGCAAAAGTAGCCCAGCGTTGCAGTTTACATTACTTTGCAGTGCAGCTCAGTCAGTTTGCAGCTCCTTGTCACTTTAATACATCAGATCATCAGACTGAACTGCAAAGGGGCTCCCATTATAGAAAATAATTTGCTGTAATGGGGCAACATCGATTTGCAAGCTGTGGGAGCTCTTTTAATGTGTTTACAATAAGATTTCCAATAGGACCGTCTAGTTCCAGTTTCGACTTATTCTCTATTTCTTTTCTCTCGTGACTCTTCAAGTGGCAGTTTGATACAGAATACAGTTTGTCTGTGTCTTGCACTGGAAGACTCATACTGATGTCAGAATTTGAGGGACTCAGATCAGATTAAAAAGCTGTTTGCAGACTGACTGAGCTTGAAAAATGTACCTTTCACAGACTTGGCTGTTTGCAGAGACAGCACAACTGGGGAGACAGTGTGATTCAGCTTTCTTTTTAACCTGTTTAATATGCCGAGTTAAGATATTCTAAAAACCTCTGAACTGGTTGAAATTTGCTCAATTTGCTCAATGTGACAGGAAACTGCTGGAATTGTCATTTGCTTGCAATTATGTGTATTGCTTAATAAATGTACTGAACTATTTAGTTTGACCTACTATAACCTTGTTCTCTCTTTCATTCTGTGTTTTGCAGGTGGCGTTGTTGGGGATAGACATCTGTGGTGCGTTTCTGGACCGCATGGGAGAGCGGTTCAAAGGATACCTAGGAACAGGTAAGATATCCCCCTGTCCCCACCATGATTTCCTTTAGGCTGAAAAAGTACTTTTATCAGTACTGAACAGCACTACTCTGTACTCTGTACTGTAGTTCAACATTTTTTATATATTGTTTGGTAAACTACCATTTTTGCATATGTCCTTCCACTTTTTCTCTCACTTCCACTTTGTGCTTCCTCTGAGATGAATTTCCTCTGAAGCCTGGCATCCCATGCTTCTCTGTTTTACATCTTAGTCTCTATATTTAGGCTCTGAGTTGTCTAGCATACTCTAGCTCTTTCAATCCTCCTTAAAACCACACCTCAGATCTATATGACCTCAAACACTGAGTCCTGTATCATATTTCATGCTCTGCGATATAGTGTGTTATGTCAGTGGCAGGCTCTTGTCTGTGCCCGCTTAAGGTGTCACCAGCTGTCTTTGTCAGCCGGACGGGCTCTTATCCCCCCGCAAACACACTCAGACCTGCAGTGCAGCTTTGGGATGAGTGGACCTGTCATACTGTGAAAAGTCTGCCTACCAACACACACACACACACACACACACACACACACACACATTATCCTGCTCACTGGCTCTGAGCATGAGTGAGTGCATTGGAAGTGTGTGTTTCACATTGATGGCAAAAACATCTCTCTGATACTCCCTTCCTCTGACTTCCATCTCTCCTTTCCTGTGCTCTCTCTCTCTCTCTCTCTCTCTCTCTCTCTCTCTCTCTATCCTTTTCCATGCACCCACCCTACTCCCACACACACACACACACACACACACAAAGGCACGAAAACACATGCACACTAACAGAAGGGAGGAGGATGAGATCATAGAGACTGAGTGATTGTATTGATCTCCAGGACTGACTCATTGCCTGCACTGAATGTGTGTGCATGTTTTTATTCAAAACTCCCAGGTGTGAGAGAAGACAAATGGAAATGAAACATACAGATCACATACAGCAGGACTTTGACATGTTTTAAACTTACTTGTTTGTTGTGGCACTGGCAGGCATTTTATAAAGTGCTGTGATTGGCTCATCAGCAGCTTGAAATATGACAAAAAAGGAATTGCCACATGACAATCAAGTTGTGTGTGTGTTTCTATCCATTTTCAGCAGATGACATTTAGTGCAACAAAGCCCCCCTCTCAGTTTTCTGACTGAGGGTATTGTCCTTTGTCGCCATTGGCAACCATGTGTTATGGTAACATAATGTACGCACGCGTACACACACACACACACACACACACACACACACACACACACACACACACACACACACACACACACACACACACACACACACACACACACACACACACACACACACACACACACACACACACACACACACACACACAGAACAGGGAAAATAGTGATGACATCACTACCCTCTCTGAAGTCTCAGACTGAGAATGTGGGTAGAAGTGTGTGTGTGTTGTGTGTCTATTTTTAAATTTTAAAGGGCAGTCTTGATTTTGAGTTGCTAAGAAATCTGTCTCATGGTCAAACAATGAAAGATTTACTGGTATTGTATTGGATACTTCGTTTTTTTAACATGATTGTCTATATGTAGACAAAGAAAAGGTGAATAAACAGTTGTATGTTGTGGATTTATACACAGTCAAAGCAAGCGAAGGTTTTGCAACAAATGACAAGTCTCACAGAAACTTGTGTTAGTCTGAACCTTTATGGTTATGACTCAGACTGAAATATAAATCTGATTTTCATTGTTGCAAATGTATAAAAATACTTGACAAACGCATATTGAAAGGCTGACAGAAACACAATAAAGAATTCTTTTTATCAAATTCAATCAGTTAACTATCTATATAATCTATATATATCTATATAAATATCTCTATTTCCTAAAATATAAATGCATACAGTTATTTTTCAAAACTGTCATTGAACAGGAGTAAATAGTTCATTGGATTGGGGTACTGTAAAGCTGCACATTTGGTGCAATTGATGTTTTTAAAAGCTGACGGTTTATTTGGGATTGATTTATAAAAAAAAAAAAAAAAAAAAGCAGATACTGCTGTGCTCATTTTGATCATGTTGAAAAACATCTAAAGCTTTTGGACACAGGGGAATAAGCCATATCAGACTTTACCTAGGAATACATCATGTTTATTTTGCTTTAGAAATTGGATTTTTACGAGAATACTGAATATTACTAGACTCGATCTTTAAATGAGTCCCTCGCTGAAGATTATTCATTCATATTAGCGCCCACAAATGGCAGCCCTTCAAATATAAAGCTATCGAGTACAAGTTGATTTGATATTAAAGCTGAAAATGCACTCAAAGCTGAGGGCCCTTCTGCTAACTCACTTCCTCATTTTGTCGAGGATTAGAGTAATCATTTGAAACATTTGTGTGTTTGCCAGAAGCCTCAGACTTTAGTTGAATGCCAGAAAATCAGAGGGTCTTTACAGTGTGCATCACTGTGTTATATAGGCCGTGCTACTGGAGCTGTTGTGTGTGAGATAAAGTGTAACTGACGTGAAAGCATTGGATGATCTTGACATTATTTTAGTCATGGTCCATTTCTCATGTCCGGTTCTCTTTCTCCCCTCATAATGTCAGAGCCATGGTGGTGATAGTGGTATAACTATTTATGTTATAAAAGGCTTTTGTGAATTTGGCTGACACTAATAATAAACATAGTCATACAGTCATTCTTTATCAGTGTGTTTGTAAAAGCACTCCACTTGGGGGCAGTCTTTATTGTCTTTGCCATTTGTATCCAGAAGAGACTCAGTGTCATGTGTGGGCCCTTTTGCTCCTTTGCTAAATGTAAATACTGAACATTCAACAACATTCTCATCGCTAACCCTCACTCTCCATCGACTAACCTTCTCATTTGTTGACCTCTTTTTCTGCCTGTAGTTGTGCCAGCTTTGGTGGACAGGCTGGGCGACGGAAAGGACCAGGTCAGGGAGAACAGCCAAGCACTCATCCTTCGCTGTATGGAGCAGACTGCCTCGCCCACAGTGAGAGACAGACACACACACACACACACACACACACACACAGATTCATATAATAAAATAAACATATTTTAATCACTTGGCTGTAGATTAAGATTAAACATATTTTTTTATTTCTATCAATTTCAGGACTGTTGCATTTCAAGTGTAGACACAGACAAAAAGATGTTAAAGTGAAAACTGTTTTGCTTTCTCTACTGTACAAAGAGTCAGTTGGCAGCAACCAATTCCAAAAAGTTAATTTGATATCCTGATGGTAGTGATTTGGAAGAACGCACAATCCAGTTACAAATCAGTGACTGCAGACAACTTACAGCCACCTCCGCATCAATAAATAATCATTACAGCTCAGAGGTATTCCTTCATGTGGGCTCCCTCTTCTGGATATTAGAGGAATAACATATGCTTCATCTGCAATATGCTTTGTGTTACCATCTCAGCACCAGTGAACATCTCTGCAGATTGTTTCTGTACTCTGTGCTCCATAATCTGCTCAAACTCCAGACAAGCTGCCTGATTTAACTTGCCTCTACTCACTCCTACTGACCCTTTTTTAATTGTGTGTCAATATCTTCCATCTCCTCTTCCAGTATGTTTGGGAAAAGCTGCTTCCTGGTTTTAAACACAAGAACTTCCGCTGTCGAGAGGGAATCTGCCTATGTCTCAGTGCCGCACTCAGCGTGTGAGTAACTTCCTCTTCTTAATCTGTGTCACTTCCACAGTGAGATGTGAAATAACACATTTATTAAAAAATGTTATAATGTATTTGAAATGTCAACAGAAGGTGTATTTAATATAACTTGTACTATAAACCAACTTGTTGATTTTTTTTATTATTATTATTATGAAGAATTATTTTTCTGAGATTTTTTAGTAAGTAATCAATTCAGGTTCAGTTTAAGATAATTCATGTTCTGCACATTGAGGTTTTTTTCTTTTTCTTTATTAGTTCTATGGCTCTACAAGAGCATGCCCTGATTTGTACGTTCAAGAAACGCACAAAGTCTCTGTCTGCAGGATTAATCTTCTTAGCTGTAGGAGGGCACATGCTACAAAAGGGAACCACCACTTTTGTCATGTGACATTTGCTCTTGAACCATTTATGTGCATATACACTTGCTGTCATGGAGTTTCAAAACTATATTTTTAATTTAGAAATGCAATAGCCGTCTTATTGAAACCTGTGTTTTAAATATGAAAGTGTTGTTAAACTCAAACCCACATTTGACATAAGACTAAACAGGTGACTGCCTGCTGCACTTTGTTTGACATCAGTCTGAATCCATTATTTTTCATTTAAAGGTCTCCACACACAGCATATCTCGGCTGTTGGAATGGCAATGCTAGTTTTAGCATGTTTTTGCTAATGGAAAGTGACACCTCTGTGCTAAATGCTAATCTGCTACCTTAAGGTGTTTACTGACTTGAGCATTGATGTCTATTAGTCCTGAGTTGTAAAACTTTGCAAAGTAATGTTCCGATCCTGGGTTTTCATCTTTTTATTTAGTTATTGCTTCTGTGTCAACGCTCCTAAAGGGATAAAATGGATAAAATGTTACGAGCAAATGTTTAGAAATGTGACACACGTGCAACTCAGAGATGTGCACTACAAATGTAAGAAGGCTGCATGCTGTAGAGAATACCACAGAAGTCTCCATACGACAATAATAAACAGATCAACTTCTTGACCATTATTGGCAATGGACTTACTGCCAGCTGTTTACTAATCACTAGCATATTTTAGGGGTTGGGCAATGTCATACAAACTGTCATACTGTGAGGTCAAGCGTGAGACATAGCAATCGAGCATCAAGTTGTCATACTGAGCGATGCTGAAGCAACAGTATGGCAGGGTGTTATGTTGACATTAGAAATCAAGTCTGACATTTTTGTTCGAAGAAGAGAAGAGTATAAAAAAATGGAGAGCAGCATGAGATCATTAACTAAGGAAGGGCAGAGCAACTCAAGTCTGTCTTCTGCTCAGACGCTCTTTTGTGAATTCCACTTGTCCATTTTAGAACCACACAGTGGTAATGCTATACTTGTGGCTCTGTTTCAGGTATGGAGCTCAGCCACTGAGCCTCAGTAAACTAGTTCCTCATATCTGCACTCTGACAGGAGACCAGAACCCACAGGTAAGAGAGCAGTTTTTCAATATTGAACATGATCAAATTGTTGCCTTTGTAGCTTTTTATACTGTTATATCTGTGTGAGTACATGTCAGTGTGTGTTCACATTGTTTCCCCTGCCATTCATTTGGAGTTGATAGCTGCCTCCCCAACACGACCTCCCACCACTCCAAAAGAAAAACTCAAAATAATTTAGTCATGGAATTTACGTAATTTATGTGCGCTTGTTTAATTTCAGCAGAGATGCAATTCTTTGATATGTTTCACTCTCCCGTTCGGCCAACAGAGAAATGCATTTCTAGAATGCAGATACTGTTTCAAACTTGTGATTGGGTTGGCAGCCTTGACCCCACCCCTTGTTGACGTAGTTTTCAGTCACAGACCCATCACACTGATGTTAGACTACAAGCTAAACAAACAGGCACGTCCAACACACAAGTCACAATTTAAAATATTAACAAAGAAATGTTGTTCAACATCTTTTTTTTCCTAATTTATTTTGAATCAGAAATTGATATATTGTACTTTAAATGAAGGCTACTGTTAACCCCCCTCCCCCAAAACCAGGGATACCAACAGATAAACCTATGGGAAACACTGGTTTGAATGGATAGAGGTCATTGTGTTCCTTGTATCATTCTGCTTAGCTTGTGGCTTAGCTCTCAGCATCCAGAATGTGTTGGCAGGCATCTTTAGGCCGCTCTGTTATCATTACTGTTATTAGTAAGGAGAAGTGCTCTGTAGAGACCCCCCATCCAGCTTCAATGGTGATTCATGAGCACCAGAACCCAATCATTAACCCACACAACGCTACTTTCTGAGTGTGTGTGAGTAAGAGAAAAGAGAGACAGAGGGATGGAGAGAGGTTGGTTTAACTTCCTGTGGAGTTGCACCCCAAAGCTGAAATCTGCTCCTCTCGTCCACCCAATGATCATCTACCCACACACTGTCCCGGCCAATCAACATCCTTGACAGGCCCGCCCACCTTCAGCCGCAGAGAATTCCTCTAACAACATCCCACCACCACCCAATCACAGCAGTTTTCACAACATGTCTAGCAAATCAGCTGTCTCACATTAAAGCAATGGTAATGGGCCCTGAAGGGATTACTTTTTAATGTGTTTGCAACCCTAAATCTGGGTAATCCCAGACCAGGGAGAAAGAGTGTAATCTGTATGGAATTATAAAGGCAAATTAACCATAATCTTTAACAACTGTTACATGGTTTAAGAGTGCAAGTATGGTGAAATGGTTAAATCTGTGTGTAGGTGTGTGTGTTTTTGTGTACGAGTTTAAAACAGGTTCATGTCTTCTGTGTGTAGGTACGAGAAGCCTCCATGACAACATTGGTGGATATTTATCGTCACGTTGGAGAGAGGGTCCGAGCAGACCTGGGAAAGAGAGGACTGCCTGCTGCAAGGTGAGTTTTTATATATGTCGTGTGTGCGTGCGTGCGCGTGTGTGTGTCCCTGATTTTGTGTGGCGGGTCTCTGGGTCCCGTGGCCTTGGCACTCAGTCTGTCCCAGGCCACACCATGCACCACTCTGCCCTTCCCACACACAGAGGCACTTTCATCCAGAGCACAATGCTGACTGACCAGGGGACGAGGTTGGGAGAGAGGCATGGAGGGGGGTACAAAGGCTTTGGGTGGGGTAAGAGAGTTGGGGAAAATTTGGAGAAAGTTTGTGGTTGTGTGTCAGCTGAAGGGCTCCATTGAGGGGCTGCGTCCTTCTTTGGTCGTCCTGGATACGTGTGCTGGGTTGAGGGTTATTCTAAGCACACACTGACTGACCCCCTCTGTTTCCCATCTCTCTCTTGCTCGCTCTCTTTTCCTCCCATGTGTAAGATCCAAGCAGCAGCCAGGTTTGTGTGCTGCTGACTGCTCACTATGAGTCTTGCGTCTGTGAATGCTGGTTCTTGCCATGTGTCATGTGCTGCACACATATTAATCCTGTTTGTCTCCGGTGTAAACACTCTGTCTGCGTATGTGGGATTTAAGCAGACTGGTGTGTCCGACGGTAGAGGTCTGACTAATACACTGATTTGGATCGGAAAGCAATGTTTTATTTGTTGACTAGATTAACATATTATAAAAATATGTAACTAGAAATACATTTGTCTCTGAATGATGAATCGTTTCATTACAGAATTTACAGATAATATCAGAGCATTGGTATGAAGCTCAGGTGGAGGTTGTTAGTGTCTTGTAGGGATTGTACACTTGCAGAAAACTCCTGAAATACTCCTGATATTTGCAAGATGAACACAAACAGCCACATTTTTCAACTGGAGTTTCGCCTGCCATCCCCCTAATATTTTTTTCAGCAGCAAGTCCAAGTGGGCTGATTTGAGAGTAGGATATTATCCAGAGAATTCAGCTCGAGCGAGTGGGACAGGGTCGTGGTTTATATCCTGTGACCTGTGTACGGTGCATAGACTGTATGAACAAGACTGCTGTAATTAAACGGCTGCATTATGTTTTCTGTTCGACAGTAAGTTGTTCTTAGCTCTTTTACTGATATTGTGGTTCCATTGGACTACACGTAGCATTGATATAAAGGCAAATATTCTCATTATAGCATCGTATAGTGGACTCTGTTGCTTCGTCCGCTACTTCTGCGTCATTTTTTTACGTCTCGTCTTACCTCCAGAAACCCCTCGCCCCCCTTCCTGTCTGACAGGGATCGTCTCCCGCTGCGAGGTGCATGTATGAACAGCCAGGTCGGGAGAATCACCGGAGCAGTCCTCCTGAAATGATCTAGATATTTTCAGGAGTGCATATGTGAAAACAGCTTTAGTGTGTTTGTGTTAGCATATGGTTGGTCTAGCTGTCAGCTATGTTTGGCTAAGTTAAACAGAGAACTGACTTGTAATATATATTTTATAATTTTAATATTCACTGAGAGCTGTTCAGTTTACATAAACTGTTGTTTATTTATTCTGAATTTAGTCAGTATATCTCTAAAGATTAAGGGGGGATTGACAATCTATTGTAATGCATTTTCCCTACATCTCGCAGCTGGTAAAATAGAATGTTAAGTGAACTGAAAGCTCTGCTAATTTAATTTTTGTCGCCCTTATGAACACTTTTATTGTTCACTAAGGTTCTACTGTCAGTGAGTCTTGAACAGACAATTTGGTTGGCTGCTGAGAGCTGGTTCTGACAATACAGGTTCCAGGACGGTGTGGTTTTAAATTGGCTCAATCGTCCAGGAGCACCGATGTCTAAGTCCATTACCAATATGATTTGGGATACCTTTAAAATGAGCCAATTCCAATGGGTTTGAGACGCTGCACGGTGGCTTCTATCTGTGCCGGATGCCGGAGCACGGTGCATCGATTTACCACAGAAAAGATCGAACGGGATAGGAAGTCAGACACCGTAACAACATAAAAGCATCCGGTTTTATTTTCAGAATAAAACACTCAGTTTTGACTGTTCAGAACAATGAGCATATGTGTGTTTGTCTATCTATTCTAAATGGTTTTATACGGGTTTATAGCACATACATCGTATTATCCCGCGCTGTTGCGAGTGAATCTGTAGAATTACCAAGGGAATTCCTTTGTCTTGGCACTCGAGCTGTTCGGGGTGTGTTGACGGACATGGGTGCACTGAGCCATAACGGACCAGAGTGGACACACAACGCAAACGTATCTGGTGGAAGTTCTGGGTCAGACTGCGTCAGTTGAGCAAATTTGACCACCTAAATTTTAAGTTTTTCCTCAAATGCATCCCAGATAATTCAAAACACGATTGCAATACAAAATGAACAACCCTGCAAAGAACAACTGTATAATGTTTATGTTTGTCATGTTCAGACGAGAGCACCTGTCTGACAGGAACACTGATGAGCCCTTTATGACCGACAGTGGCAGAGGTTAGACCTGGCAGTCAGTCTGAATGGATCAGTGTGAACCAACTGATCTGGCTGTTTGACCCAACTTGTCCTCTCTTGTGTAGTAATGCGGGTCAGATGTTACCTGGATTTCTTTGTGTCTTTTCAGAGGTTGGTTTTATTCATGTAGTTTGTTATTGAACCTGAAACGTCATTTTGATGACTTCCTGATTAACAAATAAAACTTAAGTTAATCTTTAGTGAAGTGTTTTAAAGGTAATGCATATGGAACAGAAGTACTGTTGTAAATTTAAGTCTCTGTTTACAGTAACAGCAAGGATTAACCTCAGACAACAGTCTCGTGTCATTTGGTTAAATGCTGGTTGATTGAACATAAACCTACCACCTTGTATGTTTGAAGCGAGATGACTTACCTTAAAGGTGAAGGTCATCTGCGCTGCACAAAGAGGTGACAGCCAATCGGTGCTCGACAGAGACAGCCAGTCTTTGGAGACAGGATCCTGGAATTAAAAATGATGGAGAGAGAGGTGGGATCAAAAAAAGATTTAGAGGGAGGAAGGGAATATAGGCAAGTGGGGTGAGAAGGAGAGACAAGAGGGGGGTGGAGCAGCCTTATTTTCTGTCTACCACTGGCTGTACAGCCCCTCCCCCTCTGACGAGTGTGTGTGTGTGTGTGTGTGTGTGTGTGTGTGTGTGTGTGTGTGTGTATGTATGTGTGTGTCCAGGAATGGGAGGGGGGGTTATGTAAAGGGTAACTGAATCTCCTTTCCGCCTGTCACACACACACACACATGCAGAGTCCCTGTCTGGGATTTAACTCTTTATACAGTTCCAGAGTGTAGGTCTCTCAGCATTTTTTTCGGGGAGCATAGCGTGACGTATGTATGGGCATCAGTAGGTAGTGCTTTGTCATATGCCCGTAGCATGCTTCAGTCTATGCTGTTTGGCTTTTTCTCTCTCTTTCACCCTCCCTCACTCACTCCCTCCTTTCCTCTTGGAGCCACTGCACCATGTTGGATACAAAGAGCTGAGGGAAGCCGAGGACCAGAGTGTGTCACTAGCATGGGAGCTAATGCAACATTGCACAGCAACGCAGCAACCTATTAATCAGTCGGCTGGGAAATACTGAAACGAACCAGCATTGAAGACTCAACACTGGGCTGTTTTGAACTGAATAAGGAAATTAAAATGCTAATTTACAGAAGGGAACCACGTGAAAAAGCTGCACGGCTGAAGAGCCTGCTGAAACGCTAATCGTCACCTATCAGGAGCTGCCAAGCTGTCTGTTATTTGTGGACTGTTACCCAAACTGGAATAAACAGACAGAGAAACATACAGAGGTTGGTGTGTGTGACTTATTCTTGTGTGCTCGCATATTTGACTCACCTTTCAGCAAGGAGACATTAGGGCATGTTAACAGACATGGCTAATTCTATTGGTGACGTGCTGTGTTATCATTATTTCGGTCACATGAATCAGCAATGGTCAGTGTGCAGGAGATATTTGAGGTCATGCGTTGGTGCAAAGGATCTTATTTTACCTTGACTTACCTGTGATTGGGATAGATCTTGGTGTTGTAAAATGCTGGATGGCTAGTGTGTTCATGATACCACAGCATAAATCTACCATAGGACTGTGTGCGCGCACTGTTTTATTGCTGCAGCTTCACAAGTGTGACAGGCATGATAGGCACACCCACTAACTGACAGGCGGGGTGTCTGTCCACATGTTGCTGCTGATGATACTTTCACTTAGGATTCACAGCAGCTTGTCTGTCTCCACCTCAAAATAGTGGGTTGTTTGATTTTATTTCAAAGACCCCATCAATAAAGATGATCGGGCACATATTCTTACATTCTGTCTCATTTATATGCATCCAGTTTAGCAGTTGTAGTTATGTCCTTAGGTTTGTTGTGAATGTCTGCGTTTTTGCTCTAACGGTACTTCTCTCTCTCTCTTCTCTCCGCAGGTTACAGACATTATTTGCTCGTTTTGATGAAGCCTTGAATTCAGGCAACATGGCTCTCAGCCCGAGTCACGGTCAGTTCCTTTTCTCATGTTTTTTACTTTAATGGTATTGGCTTGCTGTAGCCATCAAACTGAGTCATGTTGTCAAGAAGATTTTACTGTTATCTGTTAGTATGTGCTCCATTTGTTGCCATGAGCTCCTGTAAGAGGACCTAACAGGATTAATGCTTTAATCTGTGTGTGTGTGTCTGTGTGTGTGAGTGTGAGAATGTGTTTGTATGTGTGATTGTGTGGGTTTCTGGCTGAACCAGACCTAAGCTGAAGACTACTGCTGCTGATGATTTTGTCATCAGGAAGGAGAGTGGGCTGTACATTAAACCAGTGTTTTTATTAATTACGAAAAGTTAGTGTTCTTAATGAAACCCCTGTAGCAGAGTTTGTCTTAATGGATTTACTGACAACCATGCAAAGAAGGAAAACAGTTCATGTCAAAATATGAGATTTTTTTTGTAAATTAAAAATCTATCAGAGGAAGACTTGATTCATTCAGACCATGCAGCTAATCAAATGAAGATCCAACAAGCCGTCAAGTACCCTCAGATTAATAATTGTCATGGATTTGGTGGCGACTGAGAGGTTAGCTAGTACAACAGCTGCAGAAGAAAGACCTTGAGATGACAGCTAACAACACTTTTTTGGAATCATTATGGATACAGAGAAACAAGGTTACAGTGCAGGTATGGCATAAGACGGAAAGACACAGGGACAAATGTTTCGTCATTGAGTCACAGACTTCAAACATAGAGGTTGTTCCTGGTAAAATGTGCGACAAGGGCAACTGACCCCTGCGACAGCAGAGATGCCTGAAAGGACTTACATTATGTGCTACAAATTCAGAAGCTATGTTAATTCAAAAGCAAATGCAACGACTGAAAGGTTCTTTAACATACATAATGTTTGTACACACCGCAAGTTTTTTTACTTACTTTGTGGTTTTAAGCTTGACTTGAGCTCTCTGTGTGATCATTCAGGTCTGTTGTTTATGTCTAGCAGAGTCTGTGACTGGCTGTTTGTACCTTAAGGCTGCCCTGTCACTGTATCAATGTGTCCAACAGCTACAGATGTGGCTGTTGCCTGCTCATGTCTTTTAGACTGCTAGTTAGTGAGAGGGACATAGGGAGGGACATGGAGATGGGATCAGGGCATGTTGGAGGTGGAGTTGTTATGATGTTGTCTTTGGTTGCAGCAGAGGAATGGAGGGAGTGTTGCTTGTAATCCCTACACTCTCGGGGCATTGTTCATTATCAAATCAGTCTTTTTCATGTCTTTCTTTTTTCTTTCATTGAGTGTTGCTTCTGTTATTAATGCTGTGTTTATCACAATAAATTGTCCAATCAGTTATTTTGTGGAATTACGCACAAAATCTTTTACCTTTCCTGAGACACAGACACTTGTCTGAAGCAGCCTAGAAGAGATCAAAAACTACACAACAATCAGTTCCTTATGCAGCAATTAACCGTTTGTTAAACGGCTTCAATGATTCAGAACTATTACAGAAGCAGCTACGACCCTGGTTAACCAATCAAAGTATTTTCATTATACATTTATTTTTCAAGTGCCTGATTTAAAACCCTTCACAGATGTTGAACAAATGTCTCAGCTCCCCAAGTATACACAAAATGAAAGTGACTACAGATGCTCACTCGAGTGAGCGTGATGTTGGACTCATGCCTCTATGTTTGGCCTTGGCTGACACCTCAAATGTACTTAAGCTACTTTCTTTCCCTCTTTCTGTGCCACTGCAGCATGACCTGCCACGGCTGGCTGCTCAGAGCCACACAACACATCATTTGTGGTGCCATTCCATCCCTGTCTACAGGGGCTGAAGAATTTACTTCATTATCAATCAATCTGCCAATTATATTCTTGGTTTATTGCGTTGGCGTTGGTGCCTTGGTGAAAAAAACAAAACAAAACAAATCCAGCTTTAGACAGACCATGGACTAACAACGCGTGTAAATGATTTTGGTTTTACCTCACTCACATACATACTTTAATATGTATGATGATGATGATTACAATACTGATATATATTTTGATTGAAGAACTTTTACTTGAAGTTAGGTCCTGAATTCTTAATGTTATATTCAGTTGTATTTGTCTTTTAAATGAAGTTAATGTTTCTGTTGTTCCATTTGGCTTCCTTTTAATTAAATGTATAACAGAAATACCGCTCAATTGTCCGATTGTGACGTAAACAGCTCCACTCCATGGCAAGTGGCGTCAAATCGCAACACAACAATTCGATAACCTTTAGAATCGATAATCATTGTTGCAACTCTACTTTCCAGAACTTTCCAAGATTTTACAAGAACACAAACTCACATATAATATTCAATTATATACAGACATAAATGTGTTCTCCCTTGCCCTTGCCCCACATCTCTTTTTGGCCAGCTCTGGTTTGATCTGCAGGGTTTAACGCAGCTGTTGCTGAGAGAGGAGGAGGGGAGAGATAGAAAGGCATTGGGGAGGCACTGGGGGGCAATGGGCCGAGGGAGGAAGCTGACAGAGATCTCTGGCAGTAGGCGAGTCACAGCACTGTGCCTATCACTGCCTCTCCCTGATTCATCATGACAGAGACAGAGAGAGAGATTGAACAAACAAGAGAGTAGAGGGGAAAACAAAGGAGAGAACAGAGGGAGAGGAGCGAATATACACTCACAGACAACAGGACTTTTAACACACTGTAACCATGGCAGTTGGGGATGATGGCGATGGTAAGTGTGTGTTTAATCTCATCTGGCCACGGATGCTGGCACTCAGACAAAGGCTTGTCAGCATATGGTTTTAAATTGAAATCAGCTTAAACTCAAATGCTTTCACCCCGACTGCTCCGGCTCAGATTGAGGCCATATCTGCAAAGTGAAGGGAAACTGGGGTTTCCTAGAGTGTCTCCATCTCATCGCAGTGTGTTTGTGCTGAGGGGCATGTGTGTATTCTAGAGATTCTTTCTTTTTTTTTTGGTGAAAAACATAGGCTTGTTTTGTTTTTAATTTAAATTTCATTCAAAAGAGAGAAAGGACATATTTTAAAGTGATGATCGTCCGAGTAACTTGCGGCTGCAGGCCTGACTTGAACCCAAGATATCAGCTACATGGTACAGTATGAACCCTTAAAGCAAGCTAAATGCGTAGATTAAATATTCTGTTGGGACTCGTGTACACTCTCCATTTAGGTTGGTGTTCAAATTGTAGAAAACATTTGTGACACCCCTCTTTTCTCAACTCTACCTGTAGTTGTAATAGTTTGTCTGGTGTGCCGTAAAACTGCCTACTTCTCTGATCAAAACAAAAACAAACCATATGCGATACAGACCAAGAACATTAAGACTGAGACTGAAACAAAAGAAACCATTGACGATGATCTGTTTCCTTAATTATATTAAAAACCAATTTATTTATTAGTTGTTTGTGTGAATCCTCTTATATGTGCATGTGCTGTTAAATGCATACATGTTTAAGAATGGCACATGCTTCAAGTATTTGTGTATGAGAAAGTCAAGCGAGTCAGCACTGATGGCATCTAGCTCGGCTTTTACTTCAAGTTATTTGGTTTAGTCTGAAAATGAGTTCTTTTAAATTCAAACATACTTACAAACACACCGTAGAAGATTCAGTGCCCTGAAAACTGACCATCAGTAACAGCTTTCATTGCTTGCATAGTACGTCAGTGTTGACAGGGACTCACACACACACACACACACACACACACACACACACACTCTTGCAGACATGCTCATTCTGCTTCAGTGCATCTCCCATTCTGCAAAAAGAAGCCATGACCCCGTTTCCAGGCTAGGCTGGTTGCCATGGCAAAGCTTTTCCTCTGAATATTATGATTTATAGATCTCTCTCTCTCTCTTTTGGAATTGGGACTCAAATTATTTTTGTGTGTGTGTGTGTGTGTGTGCGTTTCCTATAAAGAGCTCTGTTTCCCCGGGCCAGGCTGGATCTGGAGCAGGCTGACTCTTATTAGAGAATCCCGGGCTGAACCTTAAATTTGTCTCTCACCCTCTCTCTCTCTCTTTTCTCCATTATTCTCCGTCCCTGAAACAACCGGATTGTTGAAGTTAAACATCCTATCGTCTCTCTCTTTTTTTAACAATCACTGTTACATCAGTGTTGATGAAAAAAATGTGCAGGGCCTGTTTAAATGTAAAACACATTTCTTCCATAAGAGAAACCTTTATGATACATCCTCCTTTACAATGATTATACTATTATTACACAACAAATTGAAAAAGTTTAGTTTGTGTGATACTAGCTTATGTTTATGTAGTTCTGTACTATTGTATTATGTTTCTTGTTTTATGTATTTTCATTGATTTTAAGTCAGAAGCCATTGCTGTAGGCCTAATTTGTCTTATAATAAAAAATATATTTAATAACTTGCGTTGTTACTGTTGTGCGTCACATATCTATAAACTTTAGTGGAAGTGGCATGTTTCTACAGAAACAGCTGTGTGCCTCGTAGTCTAGCACTGACACACAGTCTTGTGGTTTACTGTGGAGCCAGAGCTGTCCTGAGCTTTCTGACAGCTTTTGTCCACCTTTTTGCAGTGATAGTTTTGTTCTTCTGTAGGTATTCTCATATGTGGGCAGTGTTTAATGTCATATTATTTTACTTGTTTACCTGGGACTGTGCACAAAGTCACATGAGACCTAAGTGGGAATATGTGACATGCCTGTTTCCCCTGCAGATTACAGCAGATCAGCACAAACATAGGCTTTCTGTGCAGTAAATCTTAATTCCTCTGAAGATATCTTGTAGGGCTCCAAGTCCAGTGCTGAGATTTGTATGCATTACATGCTATCATGCCTGTCCAGTGCTGTCTTTCTTCAGTTATTGTTTTTGGGTGTTTCTCAGATTTTCTACTTCTTGTGAAGTAAAATTTAAACCAACACATATAATGTATGCGCTTCATACTCCGATGTAAACAGATTTTGTATTTTTACATTTTACATTTGTATCTTATTCTATTTAATTGTCAGCAGGAGCTCTGCTGTTTTTATACTTCCTTGTATGTGTAAATGTTGTTGGCAATAAATACAGATTCTTATTCTGATGATGGGTTAAATTTATGAAGACCTGTATAAGCCCCTTCACATTTTAATTTATTTAAGAACAAATTTTAAAAAAGCTGCTCCACACACTATTTTTCTTACTCTGCTCAGTTGCGAAAGTCTTTAGATTTTGTTTGAAATATATTGAATTGTCAGTTTTTCTCTGTCCAAAAAACAAACAGTTTAAGAAAGTTGTCTGAGTGGATTTTTACATTGCATGTATAACCATGTGCTGTGTCATTTTGGTTTAAAAAAAAACCCACACATTTAAATGGTATGTTTCTTTAACATTTACTATGGTATAGGTATTTAACACAGTCTCATCCAGGGTTATAGACATTCTTTCTGGCATAAAAACTCATGATTTAGACGTAAGATAAATTCACACACCAGTACAACCCCTTTCCTTTTATTCCAGTCTGTCATGCAGTGGGATGCTTCTGTGTCCCCGTCTTAAAATGTTTGATCTAGAGGAAATATCTGTTGGGAACAGAGACAGTGCTGCCATCTAGTGGTCACAACTGAATGTCTGTTTGCGTGCGAGTCTGTGTTTGTGTTCACAGATCTGGCATTTAATCACTAAAGTACTTCTGCAAGGCTGTATGACCTTGCATGTAGATTATATTTGTTTTTAGGATGGGAAATACTCTGGGATTATTCCCACACAGATTAGGGATTTACCCACTGAGGCCCTGCTGCGTGCTTTTGCAGATGTTTTTAAACATGTCTGATTTTGGCCTCTGACTCAGTTTTTCTGGACAACTGATCACAGCTATATACGTGAGCCGGTCCTCTATTTTAATAAAGTATTCCTCCTCTGGAGAGAGGAGGAAATCTCAGCCTGGAGTTTCCATGGCAACACTGCCTGGTACATGCTGATATCTCTCACTGTGTGTGTATGTGTTCTGGTAAGCATGTGTCTGTTTCTGTGTTGTTTGTGTATAGACTTGTTATTTGCATCTTGTGCTATATTATTTGGCAGTGCATAATAATCCTCTCCTCCTTGTATAGCGAGAATCATTATTCATAAAAATAAACCAGTATAAAGTCAAACCAACAGAAAATTATACTGATGATTAAACTAAATTGATATGTGTGTGTGCAAGAAGGCTTATTGACCATCTCTCTTTTCCCCTCTATTTGTTGCTTTATTCATTTGAGAAGCTGGCCAGCATTGGTCACCATGACAACAAGAGTGCAGTCTGCTCTGTACAAGAGACTCTCTCCTCATTATCTTTCTCTTCTCTCTCTCTGTCTCTCTCTCTGATGTCCCTGCTCTACCCTTCACCCGAAGACTCCCATGGGGTCTGACTAGACAAAAGCATGAGATGCAAATAATGCTAGCATTGATGCTAATCAATGCTGAGACCCTCGATGCATGACTAAAATGCAGGCATGAGTGTTGCTAATTGGCCCATGGGTTTTATTAGAAAGAACTTCAATTCACTGGTGTCTGATCCCTGAATTTATTTTCAAATAAGTTCAATAAGAGTCTTTGTACATAAACTCAGCTACAATAGTGTGTACAGTTAGTATCTTGTTTTTCCATTATGCTGTTTTTTTCTCCAGAAAAAAGGAACTTATCTTCTGTGTTTTTTTTGGCCCAGCACAGATGTGTTGTTGAGACAGACGGGTATTGAGAAGCCAATTCTGAATGTCATTAGCTTATGTGCTTGTTTCTTTCAAGTTCGGTCCAAAGACTGAATGTTTGCTAATCCCTTCCCTGTGACTACAGAGTAAACCCCCCCACGTTATGTCTCTGTCCAACCACTCAGTGGCTGACTATACTGTCTGAGTGAGAGTGGCAGGGTCAAGGCCTCAGATGGAGGGGTGTGGTCTTAAACACCCCTACCCCCAACCCCTCACTCTCCCTACACCCCTCCTTTGATCGTCCCCAACATCCTTTGTTCTTTTGAGCATCTAAAGAGAGAGATGGAGGGAGTTACTAAATGTGTTGTGTCAAAGGTAAATGTAGCTGCATAAAAATGTTGTCGAGAGGTAGTTGACAGTGATGTTTATGTGTGTGAGAGAGAATAAGGGAGATGTTATGAGAAGATGAAGAGAGTGTGTTGTCAGTGGTAATGTGTTTAGGTTAGCTGGTCTGACAGCCACACAGAGAAGCCCTGGCCTGTTAATATTCCTGGGGTGTCTGCCTGGATCTCTCCCATCACACACACACACACACATTCATAGTTCTGCCTCCGCACTGGCTGCAACACTATGATGTCACCTCTCTTCTGATTGGCTGTGAGGCTACTGAGGGAAGGAGGAGGAGAGATGTTGGGAGAGAGAGAGGGAGGGAGGGAGGGAGAGAAGATAGAGAGTGAAAGAAAATGCCGGCACTTGTATGGGTGGAGGGCTTTTCGGACAGCGATGTGAGGGGTGTGTTTGTGTGTAGACCCTATTTGAGGTGTGTGTGAGGTGTATGTTTGTGTGTGTGTTTGTTGGGGTTCGGCTTGGAGAAGAGGGGGGACCATAATACCACGCCCTCCCAGAAGTATGAGGCGTCTCATCTGCGAGCGGATCTGTGACTGTGAGTGCAGGGATAGACTTGGGTGTGTTGATGTATATGCGGTACATATTGTACACAATAAATAATGTTTATATCTGCTTTTTTTACATGATCAGTTATTTTTACTGAGCTTGAAACAATAGGCGGTGCACTCACTGTTAGCGTTAAGCGTGTTTGTACTCCCATGCATGCTTGTCGGTAGATTTTGCATGTTGACTGTGTGTGTAGGTAACTTGATGTATGAGTCAAGGTGTTGGGTGGTGGCTTTGGCGCATTTCTGCACGGCTGGTTGTCAGAGGGACCGGTGGCTGACTGCATTCCTATGCCACCACTTTCATGTCCACAGTGGACTTGTGTGTGTGTGTGAGATGCTAATTGCTGTCCACAAGTGTCTTTACTGGTGAATGTACATTCGGAATCCTGCATTGTTGCAAGTGTGTCTCAACTTTCGCTGTTAGCTTTCTAGCTAGCTTTATTTCTGACCATATACAGATTGAGTATTTGAGTTCTATCAGTCACTGGTTGTACGAGTGGGCATCCTGATTGTCGTTTTGTGTGTTTGCAGTTCCTTGAAGTAATGTATGTGTGTGGGTTTGCCTTTTTTCTTCTTTCCAATTCTGTGAATGTAATTGGTATTGATTTAGTGATTCCTGACCAGGCTCTCTGTAGAGTACAACCTCCCCCGTTTTCTGCCTCTCATCTTTACTTTTCTTTCGAGTCTCCAAATAGCCTTAAGCCTTTTTTGCTTTGTGTAAAAGAGGGAAATAAAGTTCAAGGTGCTGTGAAATACTTTGGGGTTTGAATTAGAAATATTGGAATATATTACTGGTAATCATGTACCATTTTCAGTGTCAGCAGATTTGTTGTATGGATGTATAAAACACTCTGTTGAATACATTTATGGACAGTTTTTATGGTATAGATTTGTACTATGTTGTAACATCATGATAACACTGTCATAAAGTTTTACCAACACGCCTTCTTGTCCACAGAGTGGTTAACAGTCTTCTCTCTGTCCTCTCCCTACAGATCGCAATTTTGAGGATGATGACAGTGTGGATGGGAATCGTTCTTCCTCGGCCCAGGCTGCCTTCAAGGTCCCAAAAGTTCCCAAGAAGCCGGCAGAATCCTCTGCTGCACGCAGGCCCAGCGCCACTGGTGGCAAGCTAGGTACAAAATCTCCTGTATATTTACACACACCGTTCATACATGTCCACATTTTCCATCCAAATTTGGAAAAATACATTTTTTACTGAAGAAAGTATGGTCTTTACCATTTATTCATAATTTACGGCATCACTTTAAATCATTTGTATATTATTACAATTTTATTCTTTTGAGTTCTCCAATACTTGACATCCAACCAGAGGTACATTCACTGAATAATTTTCGTCCTGGCGAGTGATGGAAAAATCTGAAGGCTTTCCGTCACTTTGATAGATTAGAATACTGAGGACGATCCACCACACCATTCTGTCTGCCATTAATAATACGGGAACATCCTGCACAAATTACTAGAATGTTTACAGGGCCATCCTACGACACACAGAAAACATTTGCAGGGTTGTGTAGCTTACATGCAGGACAGACCAGCCATCCTCGATCACTTGTGCAACAACTCGCTCTTTCCCTCTCCTCAACTCTAACACTTCATCGCTTTTTTCTTCAGTGAACTTTGTTTAATGTTGTCACATTCAGTCAGAATAACACCTAGGCAACTTATATTGTCTATGTTCAAGTGAGTTTGGTCCCAGCACAGATGTGTTGTCTTTTAATCCAAGTTTGAGAAAAACGACAACTGTCTAAAACTATTATGTTTTAGCTGTTCATAAACTATATTGAGCTACAGCATGTACAAGCTAAAGCTAACATGCATTTGTTGTGAGTCCACGATGCTTTGCAAGCTAAGGCTGAAACACCTTGCACAAGCATAAGTGCAACCGAGTAACCAGGTAGTAATTCACCAGCACACGCTAATCTAACTAACTCACTAATTACCCTCTGAATTTTTCTGACCCTGTCCATTAAAATAACAGATACTGAGAACGTCTTATTTAATCTCTGCAGGGACAAGGGATCCTGAAGTTCAAGACTATAAATGATCATTAAGGATTGACTTGTATCCTCCTTTTTGATGAATTGGCTGTGTACTTTTAGCTTTCAGGCTAGAACTCAAAGAGTCAAAGACTTGACAACCACAAATGTTGTAAAAAACATTTCTTTAACTAAAGCCAGAACCAGATTGTACATTTATACAAGCTTGAAATGTTTGTCTGATGGTCTTCTATATTCAGTAATGATATTTGTAAACAATTTCTAAGAAGGATTAACTGAAGTTAAATTTCTACATACTACTCCAGATCAATCTTTTTTTAATCCCCAGCATCAAGAATTACTAGATGGTTAAAGACGAATAAGCCTTCAAAGCCATAGATTGGCTGCAGCCTCGGACATTAGACCTTCTTTCCTCACTCTACTGCATGGATGTAGACAAGCACAGTGAACGGATAGAATCTCGTATGACCTGTTAGGAAGTTTTTTGATGCACACAATGAAGATACAGTTGTATGTTGGCTCTGATGGGTTAAACTGGCATACCAACCAGAGCATGTGGATGTTGACCTGCTGGTGCTAGCGGTGACCTGTTGTTGCTAGCGACACTAACGTAACCAAACCGATTTGACAACATTCAGAAACCTGACACAGCTCACAAACAGAAACCTTCCACTCAACTGGCTGTGTTGTCTGAGTGCTTTCTTACCCTTAGACAAGTCGGCTAGCCTGAATTTAAATATCTGTTTAACCAGCTTGGGAAATGAGTGGCTTGGAACATCCTCGTTAAGAGCGCCAAAGAATTCACAAAATACAAGGAAATTAGTATAATGAAGTCGTCGAATAGTCGTGTATGTCATTGCACGATTAAGGTTCCTATATTATTGCACATACAGGATTGAGTGATCTTATGAGCTAGAGACTGAAGAACAAAGAAAGCAAACACAAATGAAGAATGAAGACACTGCACAGACACACTCTCTCTCTCCATCTCCAGAAATCTGATACACTCTCATGTTCTTATCACCATCCTCCTATCTGTGCTCTGCTCAGTTTATCCTCCTCCCCTTTGAGAGAGTCTCTTTTCCCGTTCCACCAAATCCTCCTGCTGTAGATGGCTGGAATGTTATGTTTGCTTTGTCTTTACATGTATTGATTTCCCCCACCACCACCACCACCCCCCACCCTCTCTCTGTCTCTCTCTCTCTATCTCTCTCTCTATTGGAAGAAAGCTCTGTTCCCACCACCACACCAGAGTCAATTTCCTGCTTCTATATCTGTGTCAGCAATAACACGCATACATGCACACACACGCGCGTAGGTGGATGGGTTTTACTAGCGAGCAGTCTGTCTGAGTCCTGCTACATTTGCGCTACTTGGTGCAGACAGAACGCTGTGATCTCTTGTCACTTGGATCATTACAGGCTTATTGATTGTGCAGCAGATGTAAAAGCCTGAAGTCAAGGGCATGCTGGGGATTTTTCAAATACAAGACTGCACTTCTATAACCTTGAGCCTGCCACTTGTTTTTTTATGTGAACCAGTGAAAAATATATATTTTTATCTCATTATTTGGGAATAATTCATCAGGCTGCTATTTTGCAACATGATACTGTTTCTCTGATGGAGACAATGGGAGGCTCCATTGTCTCCATTTGCATTAAGACGACAGAATGCCCACACGCTGGCAACACCCAACAGCAAAACATTTTTGGGGGATTTTGCCAGGAAAAAACTAGAGCTTTAAAAAAAAAGTGTAAATTTATATCTAGGATAAACTGATACTATGGCCTAACTTGATGTAACACAGAACATACCTGTACTTACTGATCTACAATACCTGTCTATACAGGTAAAAAATAGATTCTGAAATTCACTTTATTCAATCAAAATCTTTGTAAGACTCCAATGTCAAAGTCAACAGCAAGGGATATGAATTTACAACCATTCCTGTCACCCTGATAACTTGCAAACCAACCCTTCGTCTCATCAAGGCGCTATTAAAATGCTGATGGATCATTGCCAGACTGCAACCATGGTTCTCCCTGAGCACTACAGTGATTACAGACATCAGACTTTCTACAACAACGTTCCCAGACGTGTAGAGCCATGTAGAGTTTTTCATGTCTTTGTGACAATGTCAGGTATTAAAAACCAATTTAAATAATCTGGACCTTTTTGAATTTCCTCTTCTGTCCTTACCTTTCTTTTGTCTTGTTCTTTCCTCTCCGATTTGCTTCTTTGATAAAAATGATGTAGGAGGTGTGGAGCACGTGGCTTCCAGCCCCTCAGAGAAACATGATTGACATGAGCATTCGAAACATAGGCTGCTAACACTTTATTGACTCTGTGTTTATGTTTTTGTAAGTGTGCTTGAACTCCTGTGGTTTAAATGCAAATACAAATGTATAATAATCCACTCTGCTCTTATTTCTAGTGTCCAAGGAAAGTGCAGGGGGGATCGATGAAGAAGATTTCATTAAAGCCTTCACAGATGTCCCTTCAGTCCAGGTAAGCTACACACGACTGCACACATTCATCCCTTTTGTTAACCAAACTGTACAATATTTAAAGGTCAGGGAGAAACTAAGACTTTTTTTTGTCTCTTCCACATGCTTGCTCGGCTCCCTTCCTCTCTTCTCTCCTGTCTCACTGTGCCTCAATGCAGATCTACTCATCGAGGGATCTCGAGGACAACCTGAATAAGATCCGTGAGATCTGCTCTGATGACAAACACGACTGGGACCAGAGAGCTAACGCTGTCAGTTATAATGCACCCTCGCATAATTCCAAAGACTAGTTTGAACGATTGTTGGCGTCTTCAACGTACTATTTTTTATCTCTTTGTTTTTCTGCAGCTGAAGAAATTCCGCTCATTGTTGGTGGCGGGCGCAAACACCTACGACTGTTTCTACCAGCACCTACGGCTACTGGATGGAGCCTTCAAACTGTCCGCTAAAGACCTGCGCTCACAAGTCGTCCGAGAGGCATGCGTCACTGTGGCGTGAGTGTTGATTACATATACTGCCATCACATGAGGATAAAATACATGACAAAATAAACAAATCCTGCATAAATAACGCACAACTGTAACTTTAATGCTAACTATACCAAGCAACCAAAATTAGCTTGATTTGCAGTGACAGAAAAGAAATCCCAAACCTATCCTCATCAGAGCATTCAGCCCTCCCTGATTTATACAAGCTGAGAGAACAGTTAGTTAAATATTCAGAGACATTGATAAGAGTCTGGCTGTGCCATCATTGACAGATTTAGAGTTGTGGAATACACATTGTACACTTATTAATTACAACTCAGTGCATTGTGGGTATTTTAGCTAATCTGTGAGGACAGCTTTTTTCATCTCTGTTATAATTCTTGAAGGCACTGCAAAGTATATTTGTGATTTTAATTGAACAAAAAAAATGCCAGCTCCACACACATGACCATCTTGCTACATCCCTGGTTATTGGTTTTCATGCTATCAAGTTATTATTGATGTTCAGGTAGGATAATAGACTTCACAAGAGAAAATGGGATATTTTGTAAAATGTAGGTTAAAAATGCCCAAACCATTATTGCAATGTACTTGTATTATTCAAATAAAGTGCTCTACATCTGCAGGTGTACTCACCTTATTTTATGATTAATTCATCATCATATATAAGTATGGAAGTGTACATGGTTATAACCACAGACAGCACACTTTTCGCTTCTACAGAAAGGAATATATTGGTGTATGTGCACGATGCGTTCCTATCATACCGGCTAAATTGTCACTGAAAAAGTCCTAGAAAATGATCTTGAGAAAAGAGTGGAACCCCTGAATAAATCTTTATCAGGATGTTTTACCACAGTTTGGAAAGTGAGTGATCTTTATGGAAAATGTATGTTGAGTATTGGTGTGTGTGTGTGTGTGTCTGTGTGTGTTCTTGCAGCCATCTCTCTACGGTGCTGGGGAATAAATTCGACCATGGAGCGGAAGCCATCGTTCCTGTCCTGTTCAACCTCATCCCAAACTGTGCCAAAGTCATGGCCAGCTCCGGTGTGTCGGCCATCCGCATTATTATAAGGGTGAGCTCAGCAGATACACAGCCTCGTAGAGATTGATGTGGCCAGTCTAAGATACTGCTGTTGTCTTGATTATTGGATTTGTTTTGTCCCCTTATTGACAATTTTCCCCTCTCTACTGCGTTTCCTGTCTGCAGCACACACACGTCCCCAGGCTCATCCCCCTGATAACCAGTAACTGCACATCCAAGTCTGTGTCTGTTAGAAGGTGGGGTTAACATCAGCTTGGTCTGATGTAATAAACACATTTAAGATAATTAACACCCTTAAGATCATAAGGTGCTTTCAATGATGCTGTTCAGTGATAATGAGAGTGATTTCAAAAATGTGTCCTTCAGGCGCTGTTATGATTTCTTGGACCTACTACTACAAGAATGGCAGACCCACTCTTTAGAGAGGTGAGGATGGCTTTCAGCGTAGTTCAGATCAACACATACCTCTACTGGGACACTACTGTCTATAAGCTATTTTTCTACTCTTTTCATCTAGCACAACTGTATTATTAAATGTTCATAGCTATGAATGTATTTTTGCATCTTAACTTTTTTTCTTTCATAATTCTCCCTTTTCATTTCCATTGCTCTGCTTGCAGGCACACATCAGTTCTAGTTGAGAGCATCAAGAAGGGAATTCGAGATGCAGACTCAGAGGCCAGAGTGGAGGCACGCAAGTAAGACACATGCAGGTTTTCTGAAAATCAAATGATATGAAAGACAAGTAGCATTTAATATCTCACCAACATCCTTGTCCTCTCTCTGAATCCCCCCCCCTCTCCTCGCCTCTTTCCCACACCATCGTGGTTTTCTTCTTGGCTGCCATCTCTCTCAGAGCCTACTGGGGTCTGAGGAACCACTTCCCAGGGGAGGCCGACGCTCTCTACAACTCCCTGGAGTCGTCTTACCAGAGGACCCTTCAGTCCTGCCTGAAGAGCTCTGGCAGTGTGGCCTCGCTTCCCCAGAGCGACCGCTCCTCCTCATCCTCTCAAGAGAGCCTCAAGTAAACCCTCAGCACTGCCTTTCTAAACTATGTCTTTAGACCTCTCGGTTGAATTTGAGAGCGCTTCTAATTCTTATAAAAGGAAGTTATTTAGGCAGGTATCATTTTAAGAGACATTTTTGTAGGAGTTCATCTGCAGACCTGAACATAACCTCGCTGCACATAGAACAGATCTCCTCAGTTAAATTTCACTTTTCTGCTCAGCTTACCGATCATCAGAAAGTCCTAACTAACCTTTTCACTTTTATATGAGCTTTGCAGCTTTGTTGAAGGAGTAAATAAAGGCTTTAAAGCTTTATCATTTTGAATTTCTCATTGTTTTGCATCTTCTGAGTCGAATTTCACTCCAAAGTTTAAACCAAAGAAAGCTGTTAAAATCAAGCAAAGTTGAAATGTGTGTTTTGGTGTAGAAAGCTTCAGTGTGATGTCTGTGTTGAAGGTAAATTACTACAGTCACCCCTTTCATTTTGCACTTCTTAGCCTCAGTGCGCCAGTTTGTCTCTTAACATTTGAATTTGATTCATGCACAGTGTAAGAAAAAAAAGCTGCCACTCCTCTTTGCTGAAACATTATTGAGCTGTTAGACGTTTCATTGAGAAAAAAACAGGAATAGTTTTAATGATTTGTAACGCGGCCCCAATCTTTATCCTCGAGATTTTCTGTGTGTTGTTGTTTTGTTGTGTACTGACCTACTTCTCTCTCTCTTCTCACAGCCGGCCTCTGACTTCTAAATGGTCAGCAGCTCCATGCCGAGGTGAGTCAAGCACACACACTCTCACACACCATAATCTCTTGCTCACTTTGAAGTCACACACACACACACACACACACACACACACACACACTATGACAGACATCAGCTCCTACAAAACCATTTCCCATCATTCTCATTCACATCTGACTGTGTCCGGCCCCCGTGCAGCCACTTTCTGTTTTTTTTGTTGTTGTTTTTTTTTGGGTTACTACACACATGTGCACACACATATGTGGATATGTGTGTGGTCTGTTTGTGTGTTTCTGTATGGTATCATTATTGTGTTGTTTAAGTGTTGTGCTGGCATGTGTTTGTGATGTATATATGCCCTCATCACCTCCCATCCCTTCTTTCACACGCTCCTGCCCCTCCTCCTCCTCCTCCTCCTCCTCCTCCTCCTCCTGTCACATCAGTCCCTGTGGGTTCAAAAGGTGGGGTGTCATCAGCCTCCCTGCAGCGTTCCCGTAGTGACGTGGATGTTAACGCAGCAGCTGTGGCTAAGCACCGGCACGGCGGACAGACCAGGGGAGTGGGTCGTCTGCCCCCTGGTTCCTACTCCTCATTGGGTAAGGGCCCTGCCAATCGAGTTGGATGACTAATCAGACGTCAGACAGCATGTGATCAGAAGAAAGTCAGGGATCTCCAAACTCTCAAATCAGATCAGAAGTATTGCTTTTAAAGTTTCTGATAGTTTAATTAAGGCCACCATCTACAAAAGTTCACATTTATCAGGATGGATCGACACATTCACACACTCCAGAGCTTGGTCTGGCCTTTCTCCTTCCCCCTCCTGCTGCCTGCTCATTGCCTGTTAATGTGTATCCTGTATGTGTTCCAATAGATATTCTCTGTGTGCATGATCTGTGGATGAATATCGTCCTTTGTGGTCCTCTCTCGATGCTGACCTCTGTATCTGCATGGTTCTCTGTTAAACAGATAAACTAATAGAATGTGCTCCTCTCTCCTCTTTGTCTTTTCACTTTTCTTACACTCTTTGTTTCCTCTCATTATTTCATCATTCTTTATGTCTTAAAATTTCTCTTTCATTTCCCCCCTTCTTGGTTTCCTTGACCTTCTGTATCTTTTACTTTAATCTTCATTTTGTGTCACTCTTTTGCTTCTTGTTTCCTTTCGTTCCCTCCCTTTATTTCCTCCATCACTATCTTTTTCTTCTTCTTCTTCTTCTTCTCTCTCTTTGCTACTAAAGATGATGCCTCTGATAAAACGGATGGTAAGATCATCTCACTCTGCTTCACCAGCTACAGCCTACACAATGCTTTTCTTTTCTTTCCTTTTTTTTTTCTTTCACTTCTCCATCATTTCATCCCAGTCCATGTCACCTCCCTTTGTGGCAGAGCGAGGCCACAGCTCCCCCTGCTGTCCGCATTACATTCAACCCTCATTTGAATCAGCGTCCTTCTCAGCACATCTTAAATCACATTATTTACCGTACACATCCGAGATCATCTTTTGCTTTACTAAACTTAACCCTTGTCATTAATATTGAACTGATCTGTCAACAGCCGCTTTAAACTGCATCATTCAGTTTTTAGATCTCAGTGGAATATCTAGGATGTCTTCTTTTTTTGTGCTATTCTACACGTGTCAGGTAAAATGTGTTGTTTACAACCTGCTCCTTCTTTGTCTGTCTGTAGGGACCAGGTCAGATAATGGTAAGATTGTGGTTAGGTGGATGTGTGTGTGGACGTGTTGTTAGGGATTTTCTAGTTGATAAAGTTAAACCAAACTCACACCTAGAGTTCAAGTTTGTCACCGTCTGCATCAGTATTTTTAACATTTAGAAGATAACCTTAGAGTTTGCCATCCTCAATCAAAGATTAGCAATGTAATTGTCTTTGATTGTTTGAATAGTCTGAATAGTGCATATAATGATTTTAACAGTAGAATTGCATAGCAAACAAAAATAGCAAAAGTCAGTTGATTGGTTGACGCACTACAACAGCGAAAATTAATGAGAATCTAATGAAGAAATATTTTAATATAGCTCACAAAATATTTTTTTTTTATCAAATTAGTTAACAATCTTAGATAAAACTCTGAATTTGTTGGATCATGACCTGTTTTAGTTTTTAACTTACTGTAACTACTTCCTCATCCGCCCAGGCATCCATGTATTTATCTGTGTTTGCATCTGGCTGCATCTGCATAGTTTAGGTTCTGTTGTTAGTTCAGAAGCTTTCAGTAGTAGCAGCTGTCAACAGCTGGAGTGCTTCTTAGTTTTCTCAGCTTCATTGGGCTTTTGTGGCTAGATATATTAGCTGAGGGAGTTCAGTGTTTATTATTTATTTTGCCCTCTGATACACACAGGACGTGTACGCACCAAGCAGCCCTTGTCCACCGCCAGCAGCGTCTCCAGCCAGGTGGACTCACGAGGACGCAGCCGCACCAAGATGGTCTCCCAGTCGCAGCGTAAGTACCCAACTCTCTATCACATTCACAGCCTAGGTGAAAGCTGTGATGGAAACATTCTAGGTATAAACAAGCACTTCAAACAGAACGCTGTGCGAGTAACCATCTACTAGTTTGTTTGTGGTTTTTCAGGCTCTTTTTGTGGAGTTTGATTTCCTGTTGCCTTCACGGTGACGATAAGCTCCATGTAAATGTTTTTGTGCCTTCAGGTTCCGACGAATCCGATTGCACGCCAGGTATTCTGTTTGTTTGTCAGAGTCAGAGTGTTGTCTATCTGTGTTCAACAGTGGGCAATAGTGGCCCACCTGCTACTGCTCTCATTCTGATCAAGGTGTTTTTATGTAAAGAGGAGTGTGTGCGTGTGCCCCCTGCATGCTGTGCCCCATCACTGATGGGATGGTGTGGTGAGCGGTGTATTCACGCAGCTCTAGCCTGGCTCTGGCTGTCATTTAGCTTATTTAAAATACTTAATGTAAGAACACAAGCCAAAGAGCTAACTGCTTTTGCAACGCAATAGGTAGATCATTTGCTTTGCAAGAATTATTGTTGCTTTCAGCCGGATGACTCCGGTGCAGGACACCAGTTTAAAGTGGACAGTGATTGGACCACAGCCCAGTGCATCATTTATATCTGGACATTTAGCAAAAATAATTGAAAATGTAGATTGTCTGATTAAGAGTTCAAAAGCCCAAACCTCAAAATAACTACACTGACTGAGACCGAGGACATGGCAGCTAAACAGAGGCTCAGAAAGATCTCTGTTTGTGTGTGTGTGTGTGTGTGTGTGTGTGTGTGTGTGTGTGAGAGAAGTGGAGTGTGTGGATATTTTTAAGCATATTTACTTTGAGGCTTTTTTTCTTCATTGTGAAACAGGCTTTGCTTCATACGTATGCCAGCCTTTCCCAACATGCACTGCTTTTCCCGGGCTATCATCTGCAGCTGGTTTAGTGTGCGTGTTTGTTTAAGCATCATACCGTATTTTCAGTTTTCCTGTTTAATAAACTGGTTTGTGTTATCAAAGTGCTTCAGTGTTTCCTTCATACTTGATATTGAACACCAGGATGTGCTGCCATCAAGCTCTGTGTTCTGACCCCCATGGCCTTTTTTTATTAAGTTTTTTTATTTCTGGCTAACACCCATAATTCTTCTGGTTGAATCTGCTGTTCCTTACCCCTCGCCTCTGCTTCCCCCCCTTCCTTCCAAACCAATGGGCCTAATGGCTCAGGATCTCAGTCTGCTACCCCAGTCGGTGGTAAGATTACAACGCTACTTCTTTTTTACCCGCTCTCTGTATCTTTACTGCCTTTTCCTCTGTTGCTGTGACTCCCCGATCCTTCACGTGCACCTAGAAAGGTCACTCAAGGCTCCTCCCACTCTGGCCGAGGCATGCTGAGATGTGTAATCACTAGACTGTTGACATGGCTGTTCTGTGATCATGCTCGACACACTGCTTTGGGAGTCCTGTGTTTTTGCACTCTGGTGTGTGTCAGAATTGAGCATAAAGAGAGAGAATATGATTTATTTTTCTACTACTAGTAAAAAAATAATAATGCAATAACAATATGTAGTTTGTTCGGTGCAATGAAACCTTTACACAGTCAACTATCTTTAAATAGTTTGTAGACTTAAACGCATTACCTTTCTATATATGTAAGGACAACGAATGGAGAGAGAGGAAGGGTGCTTGTTTTATAATTGACTAGAGATAAAAACATAGGGTTAGGTAGTTCCAAGTTTTCTTTCCGAAATAGAACATTCATCAAATATTAGCCACATTAATAATGCTTATTTGAATTGGTGTTGAGGTTGCCTCAAATATCAGAACAGTCCCTGATGGTCTTTTCTTCCTGTCATTTAGTTGTATTAAGTTTTAGAACAGACCTCAAAACAGACTTTCCCTGTGCTTAGTTTGTGTATGCTGCTTTAGTTGAGTGTTTGTTTGTCAATAAGAGAGGACGAGAGGAGCGAGTGAGAGTGTATGGTTGGCTTTAAGTGTGTAGCCCTGTAGTTCGTTCCCCCCTTATAGTCTGTTTGCCATACTTCATGTTAAGCACTACAGAGCAGCAGCTTCTCCACTGTTTGTCTTCAGATTGATAGGAACATGAGTCACTGTAGAACGTGACACCTCGTGGAGACAGGATGTCATTGGGTGGAAACTGATTTGTTTAACATTAGTGGTAAAATTGGAAAAATTTCCCTTTTGTGCATTTTATTCTTTTTTTTTAAATTTGTAACTGAATTTATTTTTCAATATGTTTTACGGAAATATTTTGCACAAGTATGCGTTGAAAATTTAAATCAAATGATGAGTTTAGATGCGTGGTTTCAACTCTGCAAGTCAAAAACATACTCCTCATCATCAAACACTGGAAAGTTTGTCTTTTGTCATTCATGTGTAGTGAATGTTAGAGCATTTATCAAAAACTGTTTGGAAAGTAGTGCCACGAAGAGAAGGACAGTAACACCTGCCTTTGTTCTATGTATGTCTACAACACTAGTCATCATCTCTTCCTCACATCCAAGTGAGATTTGTTCATACTGTAGTTCTTACTATTTAAAGCCACTTGTTGTCTGAGAGACAGACAACAAGTCTGAGAAATGATCTGACTTTACTCTCTCTCTCTCTCTCTCTGTCTCTCTCTCTCTCTCTCTCTCTTTCTAAAGCTGGAAGTCGGAGTGGCTCTCCCGGTCGTGTGCTGACAAGTACGGCCCTGAGCACCCTGAGCTCGGGGGCTCATCGGGTGCTGGCAGGGGCCGGTAGTGACGGACACAGACGCAGCCGCATCCCCCGCAGCCAGGGATGCTCCAGAGACTCTTCACCTACCCGCCTGTCTGTTGGTGAGCAAATTATTTTTTAGTTTTTTTAATACATGTTGCGTTAATAAGTTTGTGTCTATCTACTCAAAAGTTGTCTCTGTTTGTGTAATCACACACTTGTTTGTTCGACTTTATCTCAACTTTTTCCCCCTCCTTTCTCCTTCTTTCTCTCCTACTCTTCCTGCCTCTCATGCTTCTGTCCTCAAGCTCCCTCCAGCATTAGCTCTATCTACAACGGAGCAAGCAGAGGAGGTAAGGCTCTGACCTCGACCGGACCATCCTGCAACTTACCTCTCTCTTTCAAACTGTCTCTTCTCATGCTGATTGTAAAATCACCACTCCTCCTATTACTAGAAATGTCACAATCTCTCCTTCCTCTCCCAACCCCTGAATCGTGCTGTACCTCATGGCCTCCACCCGTTTGAGCCCACCTCTCTAACCTCTCTCTGACTTAATGGCTGTGATGTTTTGGTTATGGGTGCCATTGATTCTAATGCATAATAAACACACCTCCTCCCTCTTTGTACTAACGTGTTGTTAGTGGCTGGTGAATGCAACTCCTAGCAGGATCAGCAAAGCTTCATCAGGACTGTGTTAGGCTGTGATTAACCCTGATTGGCTGGGTGTAGTTGCTGAAGCTGATGAACAGAGCAATGAACAGTAAAGTTGATTGCCGTGCTGCTGGATATATAATCGCAGAACCTCCCCTCCCCCACCCCTCAAATTCATCTCAAATCACTTCCTGTTCTTTTCTTTCTTTCTGTGTGTGAGTATGAGGATGATCAGATGGGCTTGACTGATTATGAGACTGTTTAAATCTGAGGCCAGCAGTCCTGTGCTTCTTTAGGGTGCATCTCATCTCAACTGAAACATGCAGTCCTTGAACAGAAAATATAGCCGACTATTTTGACACCAACATTTGTTTTTTAAGCAATATGCCCAATATGCAGTACGGTTCTTTTTCTTTTTTTTGATAGCCTACGCCTCCTACAGACTGTTCAATTTTTGTTAATTTATGTGTGATGGGGTACCTTGTAAAACTCTTAACTTCTTAAAGACATTCCTGTGTCTATTTGGGGACTCTTATTGGATTTTTTGTATTTGCATACATTTTAACTCCAGTTCCCTGCTTATTGATACATTTTAGAACAAGTCAATTTAACTTAAAGAAGATTTTATTGTTAACCAAATGTCTGTAGGTACTAAGGGTTTGGTTTTAAGGGCAAAGATGAATAAAGATTTTAACTTTATCCCTTGATAAATAAACTTGCAGTCTAACAATTAGTTAAAAATATAATAATAATAATAAAAATAATAATAATTGTTTGCCGGACCTTTATTCTCAGTCTGAGTTGACTTTAACATATTGAGATGCTCCTTCAGGGCCAGTCGACCTGAGCTCACATTCTACTCTGCTGTCTGTCAGTTTGTCACTTTTGCTCGTTTCTTCTTATTTATGTCTTTACTCTTGTACCTCCCCCTCCTCTCTTCTTTGTCACTGCTCATGTTTGTCCTTCTTCTCTGTCTTTGTGCCCTTATTACCACTTTTCTTCCCTTATCTCCTCTTCCCCCCCCCTCCCCCCTCCCCTGAACCCCTCGGCCCTGGGTGGCGTTAGCTCGGGGCAGTCGTATCCCTCGGCCCAGTATGAGTCAGGGCTGCAGCAGAGAGGCCAGCAGGGAGAGCAGCCGGGACACCAGCCCCGTACGCTCCTTCACGCCCCTGGGTGAGTAGCAGTAGTGGAAAGTTAAGCAGGAGGGATCAAAAGTAAGACCTCAAAGAAAGATTTCTATTTTAACATAAGGTTAACTCAAACTAAAGAACATCTCAACTCTTTAAAAGCTGAGGGTGATAAGAAGAAGGAAAAACTCACTTGCATTCTTTTCAGTCTTTCTTTCTATCTTAAAACCTTTTCGACTAGCTTAAGTGGTTGTGTGTGTTTGTCATGTGCGCGGGTGTGTGTGGGCGTTAAACTCTGTATATGTGTTTTTAATCTTGGTTGCAGCGACACGAAGCTACTCTCGCTCCACTGGAGCTCTCCACGCACCTGATACCTTTGGGGCTGCAGGTGAAGGCTGAGTACATCAATGTTCTCTGTTCACCCACCCACTGCCTTATTTTTTATTTTTTTTTGCTTTGTATTTCCTTTTTGGTTCTCTTTAGTGCCAAGCATCTCCTCCTGTTTAATTTGTCGTTTCTTTATATGTCCATCAGTCTCCATGTTTTGTTTCTCCCATTGAGCTCCAGGATCCTCCCGTGGAATTGCATGTTTCCGCCCATTCAGTTGCCAGTTGACGACCATTTTGACATTTTCACCCCATTTATTTTCTTTATATAGCTCCGCCTCTTCTCTGCAGGGACACCGACATGTTTCCTGTGTTTTCTGTCAATCTTTCTTTGTCCCCCAGTGACGCCTGCAATGTCATTTAACAAGCCATCGCATCAACTTACAGTGTTGACTCATTGGAAATGTTGTGTGAATGGTTGGATTGAGTAAATGTCAGAGGGAATGGATGGTGGATCATCAGAGAACAAGTGAGAGACTGATCTATGAGTGAGAGGAGCAAGTTCTGCAATGGTTTGGTGTAAAATCTTGAACTTCTCTTTCTGAACTCTGTCCTTCTTTCCGTCTTTCTCATGCTTCACAGGATCAGGTTATGGCATCAGTCAGTCCAGTCGTCTTTCTTCCTCGGTCAGCGCCATGAGGGTCCTCAACACAGGCTCAGACGTAGAGGAGGCTCTGGCAGACGCATTGGTATAAAAACATACACACTATACAAACCACACATAAAAATACACACTTTACAAGTTTGAACATTCCAGTTAGCTGTCACCATTTGAAGCTCACACCACCTGAACTGTGCGTGTGTCTGTGTGCTTGTAAACTAACCCCTGGTTCTACCTCTGTTTAATGCTGTCAGCTGTTGGGAGACATGCGGTCAAAGGTCAGCTTCTTCTCCTGCACTCTTACTTGTGTGTTGCGTGTGTGCATGTTTATTAGCTGTTTTTGCGTTTCATCATGCTAGGTGTGTGAGTGCATGATTTTTTTTATTTTTTTTTTACCCGTGCCGTCTTTTAGTTTAATGTCACTTACATTTTAATTTCATGTCCTTTCTCTATTTCTGTCCTTTTCCCGCAGAAGAAGCCAGCCCGGAGGCGGTATGAAAACTACAACATGTACTCAGATGATGATGCTAACAGCGATGCATCCAGCGCCTGTTCAGAGAGATCCTACAGCTCCAGGAACGGGGGAGCCATCCCCACCTACATGAGACAGACGGAAGATGTAGCCGAGGTCAGCGTCAACAACAGCACAGCGAAAAAGGAAACTTTAATAATCCAGATAGTTGATAGGAAAAGCTTAAGTATCAAAAAAACACCAGACAGCAGTCCACACTTTGTTTAACTATTTAAAATAATAATCTAAAATATCATGTCCAGGCAGCTTTCTCCTGCTCATCAGTATGCGCAGTCATGCATAAAATGCTCAACTTACATTTTACACATTATACATAGAAGTTCTGTTGTCATTCACGTTGAAATTAGTGACAGACAGATGTTCATCTCAGGTTCTTGTGCCCTCTTTAAACTTAAAAGCCAGTCATTGTGCTTTGGCTTTTTACATTAACCCAAACAATGCAAGGAAAAACGCTTCCCAAATGTGTTCTTTTAGAATGCATTCTGGTTTGAAGGCTGTAGTATATAACAGAAATCTCTCTTGTCTACTCTGATGTATGAAAGCCACTGCCAGGGATGCTGCTTTCCAAACAATAACGATGCAAGATGCTCCAGGACCCTGTGTTTTGGGTTGCTGTTATTTAGCTGTTAGCATCATATCTTTTTTGTCAATGCTGCTCAAAAAAAGCCTTGTCTTGCCTGATTCCTCCATTTACACAGCACTTGATTAGACTTGATTAGGAGAAATACGAAACAGGATGGTGACGTAGAATAAAAGCGCACAGTTTCTGCTTTGAGCAGAAAGGACCTTCATAGAAGAGCTTTTGTTGAATCAATCTGACATTGCCATGTCAACTGTGAGTCAGGCTCTGTATTTATTTTATTCAGGACTTCCCTCTGCCATTATGGAAGTCTTTAACAGGCCTGTGTTGGTTTTTGTACTTCTTGTCAGGTTCTGAACCGATGTGCCAGTGCAAACTGGTCAGAGAGGAAGGAGGGGCTGCTGGGACTACAGGCACTGCTCAAGAACCAGCGCACCCTCAGGTCAGCCACAGACCAGGCAAATGTGTTTTGTAAAGTATCAAAGGATTATTGATTTTGATCTAACCAGGTATCATTTCCGTATACAGTCGAGTGGAGCTGAAGAGACTATGTGAAATCTTCACCAGGATGTTTGCAGATCCTCACAGTAAGGTATGGTTGCATGCAGATCAAGAATTCACACAACGAGCCACAGCACTCATTTACAAAAATCATTTCACATGGATTCATTTTTCATTCACATCAATTTTACTTTAGTTTCACTTAATTTTTTTTATCTCACCTCCTGCACTGTACCGGATTCTGCCAGAACAAAGACAAGCATTTATTTCTTGCCACACACAGATGGATGTTAAAGTTACGGTTAGAGACTAAGATAAACGGGTCAAAAAGTTTCTCAGATGTACAAACATGGATAAACACACATAAATCTAGGCATGCAGTGTGTGCGACGGACTGTTTTCTAACGGCATGCCATGCCTGAGGTTGCGTGTGAACTCACTCTCGTCCGCCGTCTTGCTGGATTGCTTTGTAAATGTTCAGCAGCCGATACGCCGGCTGTTCTCAATGCATTCACTGCCACACCCTCTCTTTCCCCTCCCTCTCTTCGCTGCAGTTTAGAGCGACGACACTGACCGCACACACACACACACACACACACTTGAATATTCACGCATACTGCGGCTGCCAGCTCTTCTCTCTGATTAACCTGCTGAGTTTCTCTCTCTCTAACTCTGCCACTTTTCTTACGGCGGTTTTTTGAGTGCCTCACACATAACGTAAGGTGTGTGAGCCCCCCCCTCTCCCTGCCCCCCCTCGTTTTTGACGTGTTTGACGATTTGATGAATTTCAGCGAGACTCCGGCAGAGTGTACGGCACGGCAGAATCCGGTATAAGCTCAGCCTCCTTCAAGGTACCGCATCACGCCATGGACTCTTGTGTTCATCTGTTTCATTCACCCTCTTCTCTATCTCCCTTTTTTTTTTCCAAGTTACTCTCTCACTTCCTTTCTAGTGTGCAAAAAAAAAAAAAACATCACCTCACAAATCTTACGGTGTTGTTACTCTTAGCCAATGTGTCTCATTCCATGTAGCAAATGTTGGATTGAAAGTCATGATTATTCACATCAGCTGTTGTCTGTCAGGATGCTAACAGATGTGTTTCTCTCTCCCCCATGCTCCCCCACTCTGGAACTCTCTATAGAGAGTAAGTTTGACAAATGTGTGAAACTGTATTTAATGTGTTTGGATGAAGATCTGCTTCAATAATCTGATTGGATAACTAGTTACCAGAGCAAACAACATAACAATCACTCACTAACCTGCCTCAAACAATGCTGCCTTTAACTACACCGTCCTGCCAACACAGTGTGATTGGTTTTGTCACGTCATACTTCGGTTGTTTTTTAGTATTAATATTAATGTTTTTTTATTCATGGGGTATTTAAGCTTTAATTGGTGTGTGGGCATGATGGTGTGCTGTTACAATGAAGAGTTGATAACCACTAACTTCACTATGGGAACTTATGTCTTATGTTGGGTTTGACACGATACTTTAGGAGTTTGACCTTATCATGTAAACACAGTGTAAATGCTGGATCATGTATGTATGCATGTGTGTACTAATCACGTTAGTAGTTTAGTGACTGAGTCCATGTGTAACCCAAACTCTGTGTGTGTGCGTGTGTGTGTGTTCAGGTGTTCAGTATGTTCCTGGAGACACTGGTAGATTTTATCCTGGTCCATAAGGAGGATCTGCAGGACTGGTTGTTTGTCCTGCTCACACAGCTGCTGAAGAAAATGGGAGCCGACCTGCTGGGCTCCGTACAGGCCAAAGTTCAGAGAGCCCTGGATATCACACGGTGGGTTTCACACACACATATTTATACTGATTTAAGGGCCTTTTTTATGAGCTATGCGAATGTATATAAAAGTCAAACTCGAGCTAATGTACATGATTTCACTTTGTAAAATAGGAAATGTAGGCCTAGTTTAAAGTGGAACATAATCCATTGCTAAAACTTGTGTTGAAAAATAATGGAAGGACTTTTTCACTAAGTTGTATTTCTTGCCTGGTTTGAGTCATTGACTGTATCTCAAGATGGACAATGAGTATTATCCTCACATTGTACAAAAGTGAAGCCAAAAACAAATTTAGCTTGTGATGTGATTTGTCAGAAGAGTTGCACAATAGACCCTGCCACGGCTTTTTGACCACAAAACAAAACAAAGATTTAAACTACTGATAGAGATCCCTCAGGTCCGCACAGTTCATTACAGCAGTGTTCATTTCGTTAAGGACAACAAATGTTGGTCAGTGACCATTTTTATAGGTCAAATAATATACAAGACTGGGGCCTTCTCTGTCAGGTGTTTTACATATGCTTAAATGGTAGAAAATTTTTGTTATTCCTCTGATGTGCAAAATCTGAAGTTAGTTTAAGGTTTTTTAGACAACTGAAAGACTGAGATGTGTTGCTGCGTGAGTAGAAATTTTAATTTGGATTGGGGCCTCTTTTTTTTTGACAGAGAGTCTTTCCCCAATGACCTCCAGTTTACAATTCTGATGAGGTTCACTGTGGACCAGACGCAGACGCCCAACCTCAAGGTAAAGCACATTTTCATCTAATGTTTGTGTGACTGTGTGTCTGTGATTATACTATGTGTGTCTTTATAAGAAAGATAGCTTACTGTTTATGTCTGAGGGATGGAAGGTAATGAACGGGAAGATAATGCCTGAAATTCAGAGACTATGTAGCCATGGTAACTGCTGTTCTGATATGATCCCGTGCCTGCAAATGCTGGCCCTGCCTCCCAAAAAAAAGACCTGAATCATGGGCTGTGATTGGCTGGCAGTTGATGTTGCCACTCCACTGTCTTTTTTGCACTGCTGTGGGCACACTCCTCACGCTTTCTTTCTCCGATACCTCATCCATCATCTCCTTCTCTTCCCTCTCTGTCACTAACCTTGTTATAAGAGCAACTTTATAACCTCGCCCATCTCTTATTTCAAGCTTTCCTTATCCCTTAAATTATCCCCTCCCACACCTTTTCCCTTTCAATGTTTCACATTATTCTCCCAATTTTTTCCTGTTCAAAGATTTATTTTTTGAGTTTACATATGCTTAATTAACTTTCCAAGTTAGTCATCCATGATCAGATTTAAAAATTTAATATAAACTCCATCCTTGGACAGGAAAACCTTTTTATTGTTTTTTGATAAGCATGAATTTAACGCTAAGTTGGGTTATTTTGTTAGTTTTTAAGTCCTCTTCCAAACAAAACTTAAACGAAGACCATGACAACAATGAATGTAAATTATTATTTTGTAACAAGTACTTAACATATACTAGTATACAGTATGATGAGAAGTCAACTGTTGCATTGAGCTTCATAAACAACAGATTTATGTAGTAAGACTTCAGAGCTCTTTGCTGCCATCATGTGGCAGCGTTATGTATTACTCCTTTTTCAGAATAGATGATAATAGTCACAATCGCCCAAGCCTCCTTTCCAATCTTTTTACTCCTACTAGACTCTCTGCACCCTCCCTTCCTCCCCTTTCCTTTTTCTTTTCCATTCTTGTCTCCCCTTGCCCTTCCCTGTCCTCGTCTCCCTTTCTGTCTCCGTTGATTGACGCGGTGCTTCTCCTCTCTCTCTCTGAAGCCTGTACGGAGCTCGTGTTGCGGGCGAGGCAGGGGAGGGTCCGGGGTTAAATTGTTCCCCCCCAGAGCGCGGCGCCACGCTTGCTCTCTAGACGAGCAGGCCGCAGCCTGGAGCCAGTCCTCCCAGGTCAGTGCGCTCCGGGGGGAGCAATTATATGGCGCATATAAGTAGGTTTGGAGAAAGTTCTGGTCCTTAAGGAGCATTTTTTAAGAAAGGAAGAAGAGAGACGTTAGGAGGAGAATTAGAGCAGGAGTCAGTTGTTGTAGTGTTTTTGGAATCTGCAGTGAAGTTTGCATTTATTTGTTTCTGTTTTTTGTTGTTGTTGGAGTTGTTTTCCTTTTTTTTGTCTTTTGTCATCTATTCCCTTTTTGAATGATTTGTGTTTTGGAGGTCATAAGGCATTACCATTGATGCACTTTGATTTATGTCACTAATTCATCAGATTTGTTTTCATTTTCAGACCTGCAAGAGATTCACAGTCTGCTGTGAGTCTTCATGCTGACTGTGAACATGAGTGGTCTTTTTTTCACGTGTGTAATTTTGTGGATACTGTTTTTGTATTTTCACAGGTTAAAATTGGCCCACACAGTTTATTTTTTACTAATCAATCTTTACTCATGTTTTTGTTAATCTGTGTTTTTGTATCCCAGGTGAAGGTGGCCATTCTGAAGTACATCGAGACGCTGACGTTACAGATGGAAGCTCCAGACTTTGTGAACTCCAGTGAGACTCGGCTGGCCGTCTCACGTATCATCACGTGGACGACTGAACCCAAGAGCTCTGACGTCAGAAAGGTGCTGAAACACAAATCTGAAATGTCACGAAAACATGACTCTATTGTAACACTAAAATAGTTATTAACGAGGCATTCTGTGTGTCCCAGGCCGCACAGTCGGTGCTGATCTCTCTGTTTCAGCTCAACACTCCAGAGTTCACCATGCTGCTGGCAGCTCTGCCCAAAACCTTCCAGGATGGAGCCACCAAACTGCTTCAAAACCACCTGAAGAACACGGGAAATGTTGCACAGGTACACACACACACACACACACACACACACACACACACACACACACACACACACACACACACACACACACACACACACACACACACACACACACACACACACACACACACACACACACACACACACACAAACTCTGCTGGCGAGTATTTTAGACACTGTCAGTACACTGTGGTTTAAAAACTAACTTGTTTTGTTTTTTGTAATAACCTTCTCAGGCATCAATGGGAAGCCCTCTGACACGCCACACCCCTCGATCTCCTGCCAGCTGGTCCAGTCCAGTCACCTCCCCCACCAATACCTCCCAGAACACCCCCTCACCAAGGTAACACAAACGCTTAAAAATCCACGCTTAAAAAAGTCAGGGCCTAGCACCGCCCAATGGAGGACTACAGAGATGCAGACCATCTTAGGAATCATTGATCTTTCTTTACTGTTTCACGTTCATCTTCTTTGTTGGATTTATTGGCTGTCTACACAACTTCATTCTTCTATGATGTGGTGATGTGAATGGGTAGTGATGGCTGTTGAAACGCAAGTGAGCTCAGGGTTTACCGAACTGTACTGAACCAAACCAGACCGCTTGCTGGAAACGGGTTTAAGAGGATGTTGCATTCATACTAGCCCAATAGCAAGAGTTGGTATAAGTGTCATTTTACCCCTTTGTCTCTAGTTATTAATTTAAAAAATATAACAAAAAATTAATTTATAAAAAATATTGGCTTTGTCACAATCAAACTGTTTAATTTGTCTTTATGTATTTTCTAAATGTTGGTCTAATGTTGAATTTGTTACTGAAAGTAAATGAATTTCTTAACCTAATTTTTCCCGGTTAAATACATTTTAAATCAATCTTAAATGTTTTCAACTCGTCACATTGATCTACTTTCTCGTCATAGAGAAGTGAGTTCCTTTGGTTACACTATGTTAAACACATGTCACTCTGTTTGGTTTATGTGCAGTGCATTCGACTACGACACAGAGAACATGAACTCAGAGGACATCTACAGCTCATTGAAAGGTGTCACTGAGGCAATCCAGAACTTCAGTGTTCGCAGCCAAGAGGACATGAATGAACCCATTCAGCGGCGGGAGGGAGAGGAGGTCAGTAGAGCACACTTGACTGGTGGTGTTTGTGTTTGTCCTGTGATCATCAACAAGTTTGATTTAAAGTCAGAATCTGTCTACTCATGGTGGTGACACGATTTTGAAGAAGAAAAAAAAACGTTTCCACCTTGTGTGAAGGACAGCAGACAAAATACTCAAGCATCATTGTGTTGAAGAGTCCTCACCCTCTTCTACTTCGGACCTTTCGGTTCACTGTGTGTCAGTCCCACACTGGATGATTTTATCTCATCAAGAGAACATGATGTCAAAAAAAATGTAAAGAGCCCATATTCTGCCCTTTTTGGGGTTCATATATTTAATCTATGTTCCTACTTTTGTACGTTCACAATAGCTGAAGATCGAAAAAAGTGTCTGTTTTCATGTACTGCTCCTCCTTGCTCCCTCTACGCTCTGAGTCCGTCAGCTACACTCTGTTGAGCCCACACTGTTAGACCCCACGTGGGCCAAGTCTGCTCTGATTGGTCTGCCGATCCGCTCTGTCGTTATTGGTCAGTTGCTCAGCATGCTTCTCTGAAATTTCAACATGAGCTGCTGGGCTTGCCACAACGAGCCAATGGGCTTAGATCAGTGATCTCACACTGTCAATGACGTCAGACTGACACATTTCTATGGAGGGGGGCTTGAACCGAGCGTTACATGCAGCTAATGCTACAGCTAACAGGAGGACGTAGGAGAAGCCGCGTTTCTGCGGACTTTGAATTTTTGCACATAGATGTGCCTAAACATGCACAGGACACTTGGAAAACACACTAAAGAGCATATAAAACCAGAAAAAGCAGAATATGGGACCTTTCAGTCAAGTGTTTGTTTACTTTGTTTAGGCCGACATCTGAACCTTTGTGACAGCATGCACACCTTGCACTCACCTGAGTCCTGAGTTAATATAATAGTATTTTATTATTGCAGGGAGACTTTGACAGCAGAGTGTCAGACTTCGTGGACGGAGGCCGAATGGCCCTGGACAACAAGACGTCCCTCCTCAACACCCCCTTGCTCTCCTCCAGCCCCCGAGGAGCCCGTGAGCACTTCTCTGATTCTCCCTTCAAACACAGTCGCAAAGACAGCAGCATGGACGACTCTGAGCAACTCACAGACGGTACAAAAACAGAAGAAAAAAATGTGCAAAACAAACACTAAATCCTTCTCTTTTAATTATAGCTTTATTCTTTCTATCAATCTCAACAGATAGCAGCCTGGACCAATCAGAGCTGGTGGCAGAGCTGCTCAAGGAGTTGTCCAATCACAACGAGCGCATTGAGGAGAGGAAGGCGGCGCTGTGCGAACTGCTCAAGCTGATTCGCGAAAACACCCTGCAGGTGTGGGACGAACATTTCAAGACCATCCTGCTGCTCCTGCTTGAGACGATGGGGGACAGAGAGGTAGGCACACACTTTGAATTACTGTGATAAATAACACAAAGATAAATATTTCCTTTTGAACTTGAATGTTTTGTATTTCTCCAAGCATTTGATACGAACGCTGGCTCTGCGGGTGCTGAGGGAGATTCTCAGCAAACAGCCCTGGAGGTTCAAAAACTATGCAGAGCTCACCATCATGAAGTCCCTGGAGGCTCACAAAGACCCTCATAAAGAGGTACTCAAACACACCAGTTAGTTTTGAAAATGTAATTTATTAGCAAAAAAACACTCGTGTAAGTTCTGCTGCCATTGATAACTTCTGTTTTCTAGAAGTAAAGGGTAACTGATGAACTGTCCTTTTTTCTTATGAGCATGAAAAATAACCAGAGTCGATCACTAGATTCTCCTAAACATGGCAGACACATCACATGTGGAGGGGCTGCTAATGTCAGCTTATGTGATTTGTAGGCACTCTGCCTGTTTTACGGTTATTATTTCACGTTGTTCTTCATTACTGTAGTTTTAACCTTTGCCAAATTATTTACAGGGGTTTCCCCTTATCAAACCAGATAAAACACTGAATAAAGCATATGGTTTTGAAACATCTTTGAATTCACTGAGTGTGATGTAAACCTAACTTGTTGTTTTACGTTGACAAAACAAATACCGTTCAATGTGTGTTTCTGCAGGTTGTAAGAGCAGCAGAAGAGACGGCAGCCATGTTGGCGTTGTCCATCAGTCCTGACCAGTGTATCAAGGTGTTGTGTCCCATCATCCAGTCTGCTGACTACCCCACCAACCTGGCCGCCATAAAGATGCAGACCAAAGTGGTGGAGAGGGTTCCCCGGGAAGGCCTCGTCAGCCTGTTGCCTGAGATAGTGCCAGGACTCATACAGGTACCTCCCACATAGTCTTCATATATTCAATTCAAATGAATTAGTTTGGGTTCTGGAGATCAAAATCTAGCATTGTGAGAAGTATGATGATAGGAGTTTATTCTGTTGTATCCTTTACAGAAGCATTTTAGTGTTTGAGTCATGTAACTGACCCCACGTTCCTAAATGAAAACGTGAGTCCTTCAGGTTCCTAACATCATCTTTTCTGGTCTGACAGGGTTACGATAACTCTGAGAGCAGTGTGAGGAAAGCCTGTGTGTTCTGCTTGGTGGCCATTTACGCAGTGATAGGGGAGGACCTCAAACCCCACCTCAACCAGCTCTCCAGCAGCAAGGTAACCACAGCTTTAAGCAAAGACGATCATCTGTCATTTCAGAGCCGGAAAATAATCAAATCAAACATCCAACCAACCACAAACTACAAAGCACATTAGTGTCTTACATTGAAATATCAGGGTTCAGCCAACACCAAAAGCTTCCTCCGATGGCACATTTTAAGCCTCTGTACCATGCCCAAGCACACTTCAACCCTAAAGTCCAGTTCTTTTCACTAGTGTGAGGGCTCCGATCCGTGCTCAAGCACGGTGCACTTCCTTGGCCCTGGCACACTTCGAAGTTCATGCACGAGCACGTGGGTACAAAACGTGGACAGCGTCCAAACATGGAGAAATCCAGGAGTTTTATGGCTGTATCTGACTAAAATGACTCAAAATAAGCCACAAAGTCAGTAAAGTAGCGGCCATGTTCTCTGTGCTGTTCTCAGATGTACAGACAGCACATCTTTTTTTTGTTCTTTTTTTTTCTCCAGTCCGCCTGTCCTGTAAACTAAGCACGCTTCATAATTAGCCTACGTAAAGACATACATGTGTTGTATTAGGTAACCGTGCTTGGGCCCGGTTAGTCCTGGAGCAGTGTGAGTGCAGGTCAGCGGGGGAATGGGGAGGGGGGGCAATCGGGCTTGAGCACGGTACGGGACAACTTTGCTAGTGTGAGTGCGCCCTGAGATTCAACAACTTGCATGATAATACCAGAGGAAACATGTTTTAAAACAATCCATTTTCCTCAGTATTCACCTTGTTTGACGTCTTTCCAACTCCAAGAGACATGGCTTCATCTATTCTAACATGTTTATCCTCTGTCTGTGTGTGTGTGTCCACAGCTGAAGCTGTTGAATCTGTACATCAAGCGCGCCCAGTCCGGCTCCAGCGGCAGTGAACCTCCGTCTGAGGGCTTGTAGGAGACAACAGCGCCCTCCTACAGGGCAACTGCAGAACTACAACGTTGCCCTACAAACCCTAAACGTCTTCATGAGCTCACACCAACAACAGGCCGAGAAAAAAAAAAACACACATCCTAACACAGACTGCTTACATCATCATGTAACACACACACACACACACACACACACACACACACACACACACACACACACTAACAGTCCTTGTACATTTCCTGTATGGTGCAGAAGAGAGGAGTGTTGTAGTTTTCTCCCTGACCATCACTGAGGATCCACCCTGAACGAACCGAACCCTTCCATCTGCATTAAACAAGAACAGATAACACACATCCAGTCACGCAGGTTTGTCACTAATCACTCATGGATGCAAATGTCCGTCCTTCTCCACTAGTTCTCAAACTACACAGTATCCTCTCGGAGTGCTATTGATGTCAACAGAAAGTGATGAAACTGCATGGATCTCATATTTCTATTTGGGGGGGGGAAGGGGGGGGGTGGCTGAGTTTCATCGGGCAAGGCTGAGACGAACAAACGGTGCCGCCTTTGTGTCTTTCTTGAACAACCAGTAACTGGGGCCAGGTAGACAGGAATGTAAATGTACATTGTGTCATAGTTTGGATTAATTTTACGCCATGAGTTTTTACTGCAGGAAGTTTTAATGTCTGGAGTTTCCACTCTCGCGCTCTCCCACACACACACACACACACACACAAACTTTCTCTCTCTCAAAAAGGTGCTGAAGAGCATAATAGGTACGACCGCGATACACCGTGCAGCACTAACACACACAGTCACAGTGGGTCACGCCTGCTCGTAATAAAGGCAGAACATCGTTAGATTCCAGAGTATAGGAGACGTTGTGTGCTTGGCTATGCATGAGATAACATTTTAACAATAATTTTTTTATTGGGGACATTCAGAATCAGTGTGCCTGGGGGTTTTAAATTAATATGAAGTCCACCCATTTCAGAAAACCCGTGGTGTCGTTCAATTTCTCCCAGCTCATCTGGGGTCAGTCCACCTCTGGGCAACATGGGTAGAAAGACGAGTGCGTGCTGCTTACTACATGAAGTATGACAGGACATGGCTTATTATCACATAGTGGATATGTATCTATATATGATATTCAAATGGATAACAGTGTCATTAGAAGAGTCCCCCCCCCTGAGGTGCATCTGTGCCCACCCTTGTTTTTATTTTCTCTTTCTCTCTTTTGCGAGTGCCGTAGTCTCTCTCACACTTAATGTTTTCTCTCTGCTGAGAAACTTGTAGAAATGTTTTATTTCCAGCTCTGAAAAACAAGTCATGTCACCATTTTCTCCTCTCCTCTTCATTGTGTCTTTCTTTCCCTCCTCTTGTTGTAACATTCTAGTTTCCACTGTTGTGTTTCCTCCGTGCTTTAACAAAGCTGTGCTTACATTAAAATAAAGAACTTGTACAGATCATGACAAGACCGACTTCTTTTGGTTTTTGCATAGGAGATTCTGAAGTCTTAATATTAAACATGTTTGTAGGAAAGTGCTTCAATGGTACATCTTGTAAAGATCTTCTATGTCCACCTGTATCTTCAATGACCAGGTCCACAGTAAATGTAAGATAATGCTGAGATAATTTCAAGAGGATAAAAAAAAAGAAAAAATGGTTTTAAAGATAATCTTTATTTCTTAAGATTCTTTTTCCCCTTTGGGTGTCAAAATATTTATTTGTTATTCATTAATGAATCTTTATTTGTATAGGGAGAAACATGAAGCAGGTTAAAAGTTGGCACAGACTAAATCATTTGTAGCTTAAGCTCATTTTAAATGCCATTCTCTCTCTCGAATTTTACTGATCGAGAAATTGTTTTCCAGTAAACTGTTGAAACTAATGTTTACAACTCTTGTTTTTAATCATTTTACTATTGTCATGATTGATTTATTGAATTTATTGATTTAATTCTGTTAACATTTCTATCTCAAAATAAAAAATTAAAAAAAACAACAGTAAATCATTACAGACTTACAAACGTGATATTTTAACAGCTAAGATAAATAAGTTGGTAGAGCAGATCAGATGTGGCATAAAAAAATAAACCTGCAGGTTAACTGTTGGAGGAAACTGCAAGGCAAGAATTTCATGAGGTGGTCTAATCTGGGCCTGGGGAGTAAAACCTAAGATTGTTTAACAAAGACATTTGAGAAACTAGTTTTGAGTTTCTTTTATGTATATGCTGGGAGTGGGCTGTATTTCTCTCTCTCTCAAATTACCGTATTTTCCGCACTATAAGGCGCACTTAAAAGCCTTTAATTTTCTCAAAAAACGACGGTGCGCCTTATAATCCGGAGCGCCTTATATATGGATCAATTGGTTAATTGGTTGATCCATACTGGTTGTACACGGCGCTCAGCGACACTGACTCGGATAATGACGAGAGGGAGCCGGGCATGTTGGATGCCGTACTCCACCAACTGTTCAATTCGGACACTGAAGAAGAAGAATTCGAGGGATTCGTGGACGGGGAATGAACTGAAAAAGTGAGCTTTACGTGTTATACGTAACTGAACAATGTTGAGTTATGCACTAACGTTTGAATTAGCGGTATCAGACTGTGTTTCTTTTACGTGTTTACACGTGTGAATGCACTATGTATAAAACGTGCAAAAACGTAGTTTTATACGTATTTATATTTATATATTCACAATATCTCCCAACCTTGTTCAGTTGTAAACACGTTCTATTCTATGCGCCCTATATATGAAAACAGTTCTAAAATAGGCCATTCATTGAAGGTGCGCCTTATAATCCGGTGCGCCTTATAGTGCGGAAAATACGGTACATGAAATTACTGATTGAAATTATTCAAAAACATACTTTTGTTCCTGACCTCTTTGTCCTTTTCATGAAGCATGGCCGTGACAGAAAGTCCTAAAGTACCTGATGGAATGGGCTACACTACCTGGCTGGATTAGTTACCCCACCTGTCAGAATGAGCTAGCCCACCTCCCTGAATGAGGTACCTGATAAAATGAGATACATTTGAATGAATGAGCAACTTAACAGAAAGAATTAGCTACTTTTGATAAAATGAGCTCACTTACCTAACAGAATTAGCGACCTTACCTGACGGAAGTAGCTTCCTAACTTGACAAAATGAGCTAACTTTTCTGACTGAATACGCTATATGAGAGTTAGGTTCTCTACCTAAAGATGTGCAGATAAGGTAAAGCTCAACCATGGAGAGTGAGGAGACTGGAAGTTATCATGGGCATCAGTCAGACAGCTAGACAGTTTCACTCTCAGTTTATACAAATGATTATGAATATAACACAGCCAAAAGGAAATACATCAAGGCTTTAGTGTTCATGGGCACCAGAAATGCATAAAAACCATGACTCGTATCTAGAAGACCTGTCAGATTTGTTTTTCCCACGAGAAGACCGTGTCTCCCTACAGCAGAAGAAATCTGACTGATCAAAACTGATTCTGATTTTATAGTTTTTTCATTCATCCAAACCACTGCTGAATCATATGTAATTACATGAGAAGGTCGTTCAGTGAAGAGTGTGTGTGTGTGTGCGACTGTCACTTTAAATTATCTGCTTTCAGTCTGGTGAGGAGGCTTCATACGCTATATCAAGTTCACACAATATTTGAGGGGGTCTTTTAGGACATTCTGGATAAACTTAAAGATCTCCCTAAATTACCGTCAACATCTTATTAATTCATTTTGTTTTCTATTACTACCTAAAAGTTCAAAAGGGGAAATTTTTCTCAAATTTCTATCCAAAATTTTACCCAACATCGACTTTAGCTTAAGTAAACTTTAAACTGAAATGTGGTCCAAATAGTTGGTGAGGATACAATTATATTGGTTTGATATAATAGACTAGCTGCTCAGTATGACAAATCTTATGTGGAGTCACAGCTGGAATATGAGTTATTATATTGCGTGGTATTCCCCTTTAACCCTCCAGAGGAGAGGGGCAGAAGGTCATTACAGTTCAGACAGCGTAATGTTCCTGCCTGTAAGTTTATACCTCGGCATAAGTACACCACATAACAAGAGCACATTCCTCATCAGCTGGTCGAGTGGTCACATGATTAGTCTGGGTCAGACACTCATGCAAACACACATACTCAAACTGGTTTCGAGTTCCTTCTCTGGTGTCTGTATGGAAAGAGAGAGAGGGGCCCTGACCCCGTGTGACGGAGAGAAATCTGAGTCTGCAGGAACAAAGTTGTCTGATCTTCCTCTCCTCTCAGCAGTGCTATCACAAGGCATTATGGGAAACCAGACGGCTGCGTTCAAGGTGCTGAGTAAAGAAAAAAAAGGAGTCAAACTGCAGAGCAGCAGCAGGTCATACGGATGATGAAATGTAACGGAAACAATTCTTATTTGATAAATCATCAAGTTTGTTTGAAGATTCTCTGCAGTGTTGAACAAGTCACAGCAGAGTAAAGCTTTAGTGTCTTTACCTGTTCGCTTTTCTTGAGGAAACTGAAGGCAAACTGATCACAGTCAGGATTGAACCAAAATATTCCCAAAATAAAACATGACCTTTTTGTGCATATTCAAAGAGGCAACACTTTTCTTGTTGTGTCACTTGCTCGTTACATAATTTGTTTTATTTTAGGCGCCCCCTCTGCACGAAGAAGAATCTCCTCTCCTTTTTTTCTGATCCTGTCCTGTACATGTGTAGGTAATATTTTCTGTCATAATGTCTCCCCATGCGTCTCTTAACTGTGAAATAACTTATTGTAAATCCTAGTCTAACTCATAACCCTTGGCAGCTTTAACAAGGCATTAAAAGTTACAATAAAGACATTTTAAATCTTGTCTGATGATGGTCAGAATATAATGAAGTGATGCCAAACAGTGGAAATGCTCAGGTAGAAGTCTAAATTCACAATGTCCCTTAGTAACATTAACGATAATCATCAATTTGTACATCTAGTTGAGCCTAAAATAAAGTTTTCAAAAACACCCTGATTTTTTTTTTTGTTCAGATTTTTGTGTTAAATCTTTTCAGACAAGTGTCTGTCATCACGCAGAAATGTCAATTCTCCAAATTCACTGTTAAGAAGTTCTTCAGAGCATTTTATGAAAAACAAAATCAACATCCTCTCATATTACATGAGCATTTATCGTAACTCTCTCAAATGTATTTATATCATACTAATAGAGAGCTAAAAATCAAATAAATGTCATGTAATCTCCTCTCCATGTAAATCTTTCATCCATCTGTATTGACGGCAGAGAGCATTAATGGTCCACAGTATGGTCGTTCTCACTTCTCATCATGTTCCTATAGTTTTACATTTAACTGTATAAATATATATATAATGTACTGCATTTGTTTTACAGTCAGTGCGTGACGTGTGTCATTTTAGTTTCACTTCATTGACGGTCTCATATTTTGAGTCATGCATTAATAATGAAAGGAGTCGTTGTTGGTTTACTTCTGAGTAGATTTTAAAGGTGTGTTCCATACAGTGTTCATCCAGAGTCCTACATATGAAGGCTCAAGCATATTTACAGAACATAGAGATATATACAGTCTTTATATAGAAAACAAAACTACTAACAAAAATAATCATCTTTTTTATAGCAGCAAAAAAAAGAAGAAACTAAAGAGAAATCTGTATATATACACATCTTTTTTTCCATATAACAAGGCATATTATATATAGTAAAGTACTTGCTTTCCCATTCTTTAAGTATTCATCTTGATTTAATCTCTGTGTAGATCTAAGTGTATAGGCATCGCTCTCCTCCGTCTTTAACACACAGTGTTCTCGAGGCAGAGCCACACAGGCCGAGTCAGGCCAGGTTGGACGTAACAGCATTACAGCTGCTGACAGCTGCTAGCTGGAATATGAGCAGGCATCACCACATCACAACATTCATTCAATGATCAGGAGGGTGGAGCCAATATGGCCGCCACTGAAAAAAGTGCAAAGGCCAAAACTCTCCCTTGTGGCTCTGCCTCAAGTTCAAACAAAAACAAAAACGAAAAAGGAAATGTTCTACTTGAGTTAAAACACCGAAAAATTAAAGACTCGTAAATACCCCCCCCCACCCACCACCCTATGCAGCCAACGATTCCAGAGTTAAGTGTAAACCAGGTGATTGCAAAGAATGGAGAACCAGAACCAAAATAACAAACACTGAGATGACATTTTTAACACACTCTTGCCCTGTTCCTTACATTTGAGCAGCCGAGACTGCCCTCATACACACACACGCACACACACAAACACACACATGATTCCGTCCACTTGTGTAACAACTCCCATAACAGCAAACAGAATAGCTTTAATGAATCCTTTTGGAAACTACGTAAAAGTTTCCTTCTTAGAAAAGAAACCTACAAAAAATAAATATCCACAGTTATATATTTTCTTTCTTTTGCAACACACATCTACTGTTTGTTTTATCATGTGCAAGTTCTGTGCAATGTCACACCCCTTCCACCCCCCCCCCCCCCACCCTTGGTTATGCAAACATCAAAATTAAAATGATTTCAGCTGAAATCACTTCACATTCGATAACATTTAAGTCACAAGATGTAATCAAAGGTAAGAACTCAATCTCCCAGCAAGCCGAGCTGCTGTCTGAACATTCCAGAGTCTGCGTTAAAAAGGCATGGGACATTTAAGAACAAAAAAAACAAAAAAACATGAAGAAACCCAAAAATCAAAGACTTTTCACTGCAATGGAACAAAAACACTCAAGTTGCACTTCAAGTATTCACGGCCTGGAGTTTCTCATCTACACTTTTAACAAGGAGTAGTTTGTTCAGAGACTACACACATCTTGTTTTAAACATTTCTACACCTTCATAACACCTTTATGCACAAGCAACAAGATGTGTGTCGTCTGAAACGTTACTCGTAAATGTGCCAAAAGAAATCAAAGTCACATGCTTGTTAAGAGTGTACTCACCCAGCCCGAGCACAATGCTTCAGCTTAAAAAGTACATGTTGGTTTTTCTATACACAGTAAAGTTCAAACAGAAAGACACAAACATCCAGCCATGCATTATAAAATACATCCCTGACCTAATAGGACAATAAAGAAAAGAGCTTGAGTGATTTGTACAGAGTCATACTTTGGTGTTGCATACATGCATATTGCTATTTTTGCATGCAAACCTTCCAAAACAGAAGTTTTTTTTAAGCTTCATGTCTGTCCTGAAAGCGAAGTTTCGCATCTATTTATTTAGCCAGAATGTTTTATTGCCCATGTGGTTACAGACGCCATACAGAACCCTGCATCTGTACCCTCTTGTCTTTTGTCATGATCCCATCATAGTAACACAGTCACAGAGCAAAAACACTTCCTCTGTTCTGGTCGGGGACTGACTGAATGTACCTGAAATAATGGAATCTATTTTGTTAAAAAAAAGAAAAATTTAAAAACTGCACCAACACGCCTCCAAGGGAAAGAAATAAGCACATTGTCGTGAGTGAATCCTCTTCTAATGACTAAGCTTCTCCATAAATGCTTTAATACACTCTGACATGAAATCTGCTTTCATTAGTAAATCAACCCACTTGCACTTTACATTTGGATTCCTTTAAGTTTGATGTTTCAGCTGATGGAGCCAAGAGGAAAACTGACCCAAATCCTTCTCCTTTCCCCCTGACAGATGGAGGACAGAAATAAAAAAACACACACCCACAACCGTTTTCAGAAAGGATTTCACCACAACAGACCACCCTCTCCTTGAATGACCCTCACACAGCCCTCTCCCCTCACTGATTAACAGACGCCTGGTTGGTTTATCAGAAAACCAATGACACCATGCATGATTTTTTTAAATGCAACTATTTTCGTAAACGTGCAGCTCTATGAAACAATCTATCAGGATTGGAAGGAGTTTGTTTTTAATTTATGCATCTTGCATCTAGCCCCTCCATTGTAGTACAATATTTATGTTATAAGCCTCTGATTGTTGTTATAAATGCAAACAGGGCCAAAGTGAAGCCAAACGTATCACACTGCTGCTATTTGCTCTAATTAAACAGCAGATGTCAATACTTTACAAAAGGCTTTAGTTAATGGTTAAAACATGCATCTCCAAACCTGGACCAATTCAAATTTTGTTCTGAAGTTTTTTCATTTGAAGGAGTAGTCTGTCATTTTGGGAAACTCTTGAATCAGATCGGTACCATCATGTATGTTTAACATGAAGCAATAACCAAATGGTGTTAGGCTAAAAAAAAAAGGAAAACAGAAACAGGGAAGACATTTTTTTTTAACTAAAATACCTACTTCCTTCTGTTTCAAGTATTTTTGCTAAGCTAAGCTAACTGTCTAATGTGGGGAGTTTCATATTTAGCATACAGAGAAGAGATTTACATTTTTTGATGTAATTCTACAGAACAAAGTAAATAAAAGGGATTTCCCAAAATCCCATTTTACTCCTTTGAACTAATAGAATTTTTCTCATCCCTTTCTCTTGTTCTAGACATTAATATAGTGTATGAAACTCAGATATAATGAGCATCGAAGATAAGTTTATCGACTTCTGTTGACAGATTAGAATTAGCAGAGGTCTGACGCCTAAACTAGGAACTTGAATCCTCCATCAATGCTCCAATAACAAGCCTTTTCATACTGCCACTTAACACCCCTTCAACAATGGCTCAGCCAATGTGCAGTACGACACAAACATTGTGCTAACAGTATTTTTAAATAAAAATGAAAAATAAGCAGAGAGAAAAAGAACAACTCCACATCTCTCTCCTGTTCTCGTCTGCTGGTTGATTAGTCTCTCTCCTGCTCCTGCAGCATGTAGGTTAGTCTGATTATTCAAAACAAAGAGAAGCATCTTTCTGGGCCCTTCACAAGTCATGACAATAATATTTGGGATTTGAATGCCATTGCTCATTGCATCTATGCTCTTTCTTTCCTGGAATTTGACCACGTTTGTCCTTTCGGCTGAATATACAGGCAACGTTACGCTCATGCTCTCCACTTCCGAGCAAAGCCTCCTTAAGGCTCAATTAAAGACTTTTTGAGTAAAAAAAAAAAATCCATTCACAAGCCATTTGGGTGATCAGGAACAAACATGTCTTTTTTTTTTTTCGGTGACCAGGCTCTTAGATTTAAAAAAAAGAAATGCCACTTCCAAAAGTCTCTCGAGTCTTAAAGCTACAGACGCAGAGTGGTGTCAAAGTCCCGCAAAGCCAAAGTGTGTTGGCTTTATTTTGGTGAACACAATGCCCTCACTGGAGAAACAAAGTCAACAGAAACACACACACGTCGTTTATCTTCCACATCAAGTTAGCAAAGATTCAAGCAAGCGTAATCCACATCGAGGAAGAACAATTTTCAGCATTTTCAATGATTGCAGCTTCGAGGACTTGTTTTCATCAACAATGTTCGTTACTCAGGAGTTTATGTGATTATTGTGTTGACCCCCCCAGATGAAGAGGTGTGTGTGTGTGTGTGTGTGTGTGTGTGTGTGTGTGTGTGTGTGTGTGTGTGTGTGTGTGTGTGTGTGTGTGTGTGTGTGTGTGTGTGTGTGTGTGTGTGTGTGTGTGTGTGTGTGTGAGTCCCCTGAAATTTCCTGTCCAGGCGGTGGCTCGGTAGCACCTCCTACAGGCCCTGAGAGACAGAAACGACCTCTCCTTAAAACAATGAATCGCTCACCTCTGGACAACCCACAACGGATCAGTCAGATATCTGTGAGGGTTAGGTGAAAAGAATTTCAATGATGGCTAGAGCGGTACTGGGACCAGATTGCTTATATGTTGGGTTTGTTGGTCTGGTGTTACATTGGTCCCATGGCAGATTTTGTTTTTCCTTGCAGAAAAGCCAGTCAGAAGAAAGCACAGACACAAAGAGTTGACCAACTGAGGACGATGCTGCACATCCCACAGTCTCTCCATCGGCTCTAATTCAAACATTTATTTATTTTCTTCTGCAGCAACGTGTCTGTCGATGTAGCCGATCAATCACAGAGCAGACTCTTTCTCCGTGTGACAGGATGTAGTGCTGGTGGTGGCCTTGCCGGACTTGTTTAGTTTCAGGAAGCTCGGTTTTTCGATAACCACGGCCACTTCACTGCCAGTGGGATTTTCCGGCTTTGTCAAAGCCCGTTTCTCTGAAGCTTTGGATGAGTCCACGTCCCTGTCAATCATTCAAACAATCATAAATGTTAGGAATTCATTTTTGACTAAAAGGAATATTTACTTATGCAACTAGCGCTTATGCTAATGCAAAGCTACGTCACCTGGCCTGCGGTTACTTCATATCAAGCATACAGAACAGACAGAGTGGTATAATCCTTCTTATCTAACTTTTGCCAAGAAAACTAATTTGTTTACGAGGAAGAGTCTCTCACCGGCTGTGTGGAGTTGGGTAAATGACCAAGAAGCAGGCGGTGAAGAATCCGAGGAGGGATCCCCCAGAGGCCACCATGGGAATGACACGGACGCTGCCAACTGCCTCCACTACAGCACCCAGAGCCGAGGCCACCAGGATCTGACTGATGTACACCTGTAAAACAGCAGACGGTTATGTAACACCAGTCTGCTTAAGAAGACATCAGCTTTGCCACAAAAAGTTCAAAGAGACTACATGAACAGTCACCTGGCAGGATAAGATGGCACAGTCGATGCCAAAGCCTCTCCGAGAGTTACCAGGACTGTGATGGATGTACTGCAGGAGGCAGAGAAACATACAGTCACTTAATGTCAGTGAAAGAAAATGTTTTATTGTGAGCTTAATATCTCATTTTCTTTTCTTATGGTACACTAAGTTCTTTGTTTCCTTATAGTGACACACGTTCTGAAGTCCTCCATAGAAAGCACATTAATATATATAACAAAATGATTTTAAAATGTAGAAAACAGAATGCTTGTTTCAGGCAAATTTCAGTTTTTATAGTTAAATGTATTACGTTAAAAAGCAGCTAAAATGTTAAAATACCAAGACCATTTCCTTTTTGTTATTCTGCCATCTAAAGACAGCACCGACTGGTTCTTACTGCAGATGTAAGACACATCAGGAACATGAAATTACATTTCTCAGAAAATTGAGTGAATATGTCGTACCTCTTTCATTTCATGATACTGTCCCAGCAGAGCGTAAGGACAGTAGGAGATACTCATGGAGATGATGCCCATGCTGCTGATCATCACCATTGCAACATAAACATTAGGGAAGATTGCCATGACAGCAGTTCCTATAGCAAGAAAGATAAAGATTAATTTTCTTATTTCCCACATTTGTGTTGTAATTTTGTATCACTGTGCTGTGCTTCATACCTATTGAGAAACCCAATGTTCCCAGGATGTAGATGATCTTAATGCTCAGGTCGAAGTTGTCGAGGTATTTCTGAAGAATAGCTGGAGAAGTTTGATTAGTTAGGTGGTTAGTCCAAAGTTCATGATGTTTTTCTTTTTTTTTTTTTAATGATGTAATCAAGTGAGCTCAATGTGTTACCGGAGCATGTAGCAGCAGTCATGGCATATATAACCAGTCCCCAACATCCCATCTGAACTCCTCTGTGATAGTTTTCAAGCATAGTTGAGTTAGCAGGAGCCTAAAGAGAGAGAAAGAAAGAAAAACATGTTCAGTTTATAACAGATTGGTTGATATGTTAGGATCCACATTAGCTGTAGCCCGGAGCTCAGATATTCTTCCTGGGGTCCACATAAAAAAAAAAAAAAAAACATTAACAGGAATATAAAAATGTACATTGATTGAAAAAACGATTAAGCACTAAAATACACATAAGCCATCACATTAAGAAGATGGCATAAAATATATAGTTTACACTAATCAAAAGGGGTGGGGGGAAGATAATAGGAATGATGTAATAGAGAAGTTGACAAATAATTCATCTGAATAAGTTTGTTCCTTGCCTGACTGAAGATTTTTAGATTTTTTAGATTGCTATGGACAAGAAGTCAAATCACTCATTCATGAAAAATAATCAAACTTCAGAGGAATGTAGGAATATATCCGTTTATCTTTCTAGGTGTGTTTAGCTGCTTAGTCTCGTACAGTAGGATCTCCATGGTAGATGACTTGTCCCATGAAATCAGTGAAGAAGACCGCTTCGGCAATGATGGAGAACCAGGTGAGCAGGTGACAGGCGCACAGTCGCAGCAGCTCAGGAGGCATCTTCAGCATGGAGAGCCACAGCAGCCGCACAGTCGTCTCAACCTGAAGAGAGGAAACCAGATTAGACCCCTGGAAACAAATTGAAACTACCACCCAGTAGTTTAAATACACAGCCGGAAAAAACAAGAAATTGAAATACTGATGCTTTCGTTGCCTTACCTCTCCCTCTTCACTCTCTGTGTCCCCGCTGGAAGAGTTGGTGTTTCCACTGCGGTGCCTGTTCCTCTGTCTGCTCCTCCTCCTGTGTCTCTCCTCCACTTCGTACAGGTCGCTCATGCTTCGAGATGGCTTGATGAGGAAGGCGGCGTTGGCCCGGCGGTAACGGTAGCGATGGCTACCGACTCGACCGTAGTAGGAAAATGTGCAGGACGGCTGGCGGTAGAAGGTGTGACGGTGACGGGGCTGCCTCATGGGGGCTCCTGTACTAGCAGCTGTAATTATGAAAAAAAAAGTGATAAGATTTACACTAAATATTTTAGTAGAATGAGACAGGACATATGATATTGGCTTACAACACAACCAAACAGTGGATCAATTTTCTACTTGAACTTGTGTTTCCATCAACTGCAAGGATAAACGTCTTCTTCTGTATTTAGCTCAAAAAAAGATCGACTGTTCCTCTTACTTCAATCTTGCCTTACTCTATCCAAACATGTTTACTACCATATTCTAAGTAGTGAGTTTGTTCTGTGGAAATCAATCACTTTCTTATTTGGAAGCAAAAAGTTTCTGAAATCTGTTCTCGCAAACTGTATTTAAAAAATACCAACCCTTGACCATTCCAGCTCGATGGGCCTGTCCTTTGGAGCTCAGTCTGTTAGTGTCGTCTCCATCAGCATTAGTTACACCGGCCATCAGCCGTCCGTTCAGTGTCCTCTGCTCATTGAGCTGGTTGTTCAGCAGCGCCTCCTGACCATCGTCATTCTCCATTTCCTGTAAGAAAGCCGAGAGGCGGGAGACCCTTTCGGTGGGAGCGTGTGTTTGGTGGTTGTTCGTTTGGAGGCGGAGCAGGTCTTGACTGCCTGCGCTGCTGCTCCGTCTGATGTTGCCAAACTTGGAAGGCTGATTGTTGTAATTGGAGGTGAAGTAGGAACCGGTCATTGGAGGGGAGCTGTGGTAGGGTGAGAGGCGGTCGGCAAAGATGGAAGGCTCTATGTGGCAGAGGAACAATGCATCATGGTCCATGTGGTTGAGAGTGGCGTCTGCCATGGCGAGAACACTGTCACTTTTACCTAAAGAAACACCAGGAGAAGGGGGATTAGATTATAGAAAATGAGATGCTGATATCTGCAGTACAAAATGATGGTGATCAAAAAACCAAGTGAAGAAAACTTTGATCATTGGGGAGATTTCTCTCCTCTAAGGTTGCTCATATGAAGTTTGCACAAAAATGATAAAACAGTTGCTGGATATGTAAGAAGTGTGTTTAGGCCTATTCTGTTGGGAGTTTACCCATGAAAACAATTACATTTATTCATTTTTCGAAGCAGAGAATCACCGTCCTCAGTGGGACCTGAGGGGGGGGCTCAGTTTTTCTCAGATACAAATAGGAGGGCTCCAAGGGAAAAATGATTGGGAACTACTGGCTTAGAGTATATTGTTTTCTAATTTGTAAGAACTGAGAAGAATTTGTCACCCAGTATTGGATTCACAGATTACCAACTGCATCCGGTTGAACCATCTGCTGACTTATTTATTTATTTTGTGAAGCTGAACTGAAGGGTTGGAAATACAAATCTGTAGACTTGTAGGCTAAGACTCTTCATGATTACTGGTTGGAACCCACTTACAAAGATTAAAGAAAAAACAATAGTCTTTTTATCAGGAAAGGACAAAGAAACAAACAAATCATTTTGCTTTGTTTAATAAGGATTTCAATGAATCATAATAGCCTTGGACCATTCAGTGTTGGGGCAGCTGTGATTAAAGCTAGCTCAGAAGCTAGTAGAAAGTAGAGACAAGAAAACAAGAAAATACATTTATATTTTCATTTCATTGTACAGTGTTCCCCTTTGTTATTTTTTTTGTATTATATCTTTGCTTTAATACAGTGAATAGCTTCTGTAAAGTTTATTTTAATTTACTTAGCTGTTACTACAACTTACTATTTTTTTATTTGTACTTTTCTTCTCTTTTTTTCTTATAATGCTATTCTATTTTATATATAACTTTAACTTTTTTGAGAAGACTCAGGGAGAAACGCACAAAAATTCAAATTTACCTGTACTTTCCTGTACCTGTGCAAATGGCAATAAACATCTATTCTATTCTCAAATATGTAGATAACAAGGAAGTAAGCATCGCTGCCTTTCTGAAAGACTTGGATACACAGGACAACTAGGTATTACCATCATTAAAATTGAAAAACATTTTCCAAAGATCTTAATGGAGAGAAATTTAATTCAGATTCAGCAAAGGGGCCAATAATGTGTGAACTTACTTCTCACAAGCTCCACCTCCAGGAAGTCCATATCCCCGCGCTCTGAGAGGTCGTCTCCATAGGGGTCATAGAGGTCGTAGCTGTCCAGTGTGTCGTTCTCTCCGATCAATTCCAGCTTGGGGGCCAGAAGTCCATTCCTACCGTTTGCTGATGGTGGCGGGTTGGTGCGATCTGGACTCTCCTGGTGTGATTTCAAGTGAGAGATGCATGTTTATGAACAAAGTTCAAGTGAACTGAAATTAAAGTTTGCATAAAACAAACACTGTACCTGGTCGATTCGGTCATGATGGGATGAGTACTGCTGCTCCTCGATGCTGAAGAGATGCAACACCACAGAGATAGAGAAGAGAACGGCAGCAAAGAAGAACAGGATCTGTTCCTGGGACCTGAAGATTGCTCCAAGGAAGGTGTGTGTCCAGTCCAAACCTCCAAGAGCATAACCCACTGCACCACCAAGACCTGCACACAGGGACAAACATGTAGACTGTCACACTAAAGAGAGAAAGGAGTGTCTTAGTGCTGTTTTATATCCAATCTGTGTTCAATTAAGTGGAGTTATTGACTTGACAAACAATTCTGGCTTCAGCGTATTATACTTTCTATTATTTCATCAAAGTCCTGGGAAAGCATGTGAGATCTATGTATTTCGTACCTGCTGAGGCGGCATGGATGTTGAGCGCCATGTCTTGTTCCTCCGTGTCGGCCACGTCCAGCAGGTATGCTCTGATTGGTCCCTCTGTGGCGTCTGCACAAAAGTCCAGCACCACCACCCCGAGCACAGTGAGGACAATCCCTATTGGTTGTCTCCCCTTCTCGTCACCCATGGACAGACCTTACGGAGAAAGACAAATATCATCAAAGAAACGATATTGGATGGCATGTGAAATGTGTTTCTAAAGGGTAAGTTCACCCAAATTCCAATGTAAACACATATTTCCCAACAAATATACCACCCCTCATTTCCCATAATGCTTTGCATGCTGTGTCTGACCTTCTGGGTCTCTTTACATTTGTGACACAGCCCTCGCTCTCGAGCGGCTCAATGTGTGTTTGTGTCAGATCCAAGTGGCAAGTGTTGAAAAATGAAGCCAATGCACAATAGCAATAAACTGCAGTTCCTCTAGGGGCCACTTGAGGCGGACTCCAAAAACCAAGGATCCCCATTAAACCCTATATTAAAATACCCAAGTTTACAGCAAGTTTACAGGTTCCAAATAGTTCAACATGCTTCATTATTATTATTATTGTCATGAATAGTAACTATTAAAACAATCAACTACACTATAACATATAAAACATATATAGCATATTCTATATGTACAATAATATATTAGATATATAACATAAATTATAAATGTATATAACATATTTCAGTTAGTCATTGGTAAAACTACAGGGGTGGTTGATTATTTTTATGACTAATCCATCCACAACTGTGTGTGTGTGTGTGTGTGTGTGTGTGTGTGTGTGTGTGGTGTATTTGTGACATTGTGACCAAGAAGGAGTGATGAAGAAAGAACGAGATCACAGGAGGTGTGACGCAGCGTGACTAAAAAAAACCTGAAATCTATCAACATCCAGGAACAAATGATCATAGAAAGAACAGCAGAGAGTGTGTGTATGTGTGTGCCCACTTGTGTGCATGTGTGTGTGTGGGACAATGGAGCAGACCTACTCGCTAGCCTGGCAGACAGACAGGAAGTGAATTGTGATTGGTGGAAAGGGGGAAGCAAACAGGAAGCATTTCCCTGTGAACTGCTTACTCCTGTGTTCCCATGTTAACACACACACACACACACAGGTTACTACAGTTTTCCCATGTCACCATGTGTTGTTCTCACACATTCATATACATACACATAACCCCGGAAACGTACACTTTCTCTCATTTGTCTCACACACAGTTCATTGGTCATTTCCCATCTCAATCCCTTGGACAAGGTGCTCTCTCTCTGTCTCTCTCTCTCTCTGTCTCTATAAGACACACACACACACACACACACACACACACACACACACACACACACACACACACACACACACACACACACACACACACACACACACACACACACACACACACACACACACACACACACACACACACACACACACACACACACACACACACATTCCCTGGTGCCCTAAACTGACCTGAGTGTCAACCTCTGCAGAAGAATAAAGTAAGAAAAAAACCAAAACGGAGCTGAATAGATTCTGCTGACAGAAAACAGTTCACAGCGTTCTCATTCTTATTCTTTACATTCCTCTGATAATTAATCTTACTTCTATCTATGTAGAGATAAAGAAGCTGTGTGAACACTATGCAACAACAGTGTGAAGTGATGTCACAGCGTTTGTTTACATAAAAAACCGGAACAACAATTACAGCGTGAAGAAAGAGATCAATAAATATACGTAGCATAACTGACAACTGATCAATTTGTTTGACTGGGTTCGATAACTGTGTCCTCTGAGTGACATTAGGACAACATAATAAGCTGAAGGTCAGACTGAGGATAACATCTGTCTCTGTACAATGAAAACAACTCTCAGGCTCAGGTGAATGATGCTGCACTGCTCTAGGAAGGATCAGGCTGATTTATTTCCTGTGAATCACATGAGAATCCTGCTGAAATATCAGTGTTTGCCTGGACAGATTTTGAGGTTTAATTCCCACTAAGGCCATGCTAGCCATCTGCTGTCACTGTTATCTAAACCCACTGAGACTCAAAGTAGACTTCTGTCATGCTAGGCCCAATTGTAACAACAACATGGTTTGGTTTGTTTTGTACTTGAGTTAATGCAGGGACGGCTGTATAAGAAACACAAGAGTTTTGTCTCATTTTTTTTGGTCTTAAAGTGAAAAAAGGGCTTAAATGGCTTAAAAAAATACAATGACATTACTGTGAAAAATCATACTTTACAGGCAGTCTTTTTAAAGATTTATTTTTGGGCTTTTTATGCCTTTATTGTTGAGCCATGACAATGGATAGAGATGGAAACCAGGGAGAGAGAGAGCGGGTGACGACACTCTGGAATGGAGTCACAGGTCGGATTCAAACCCAGGCCGAATGCTTCAAGGACTGCAGCCTCTGTACATGGGGCGTGCAAACGTACCACTAGCCCAACAGCACCCCTTACCAGGAACTTTAAATATTGTATAATGATTTCACTAATTTTGAATGGGATGTCTTTTACAAAGTGATTAGCCTGTTGGGTATTGCTTAGAAAGTGATTCTGTGCGATTCTATGTTTACAGAAAGTATGTTACAGCATTATAGTACAAAATAAGAGTAACATAAAAAAGAACTGCAGATACTGTAGCGATGATATTGTTGATATTTATTCAGCTTTAAAAAACCTGTCGGATATTTCCAACAAGTTTTGAATGGTTTGCATTTTCTGTGGATTATCAAAGCCTCTGTGATCGTGAATTGAAGAGATACCTCAGTCAAAATAAAAAAAAAAAACACTCTTTCTCGCTGACACACATACCTTTGTACTTTAAATTAAATGGACCCTGAAAAAGTATAAATGATACAAAAATAACACACACTCACCTATCAGCGATCCGTTGAGAAACAGAGCCACTCCTAACAGAGTTCCTATACACAGAGCCAGGATGAAGGGTCTCCTCCTGCCCCAGCGCAACGTGCAGCGGTCGCTGGCCGAGCCGATCAGAGGAGTGAACATGAGGCCGAGAACCGGACTGAGGAACCACGTCAGACTGTAGTACTGCTCTGGAAGACCTGCACAATCACACACACACACACACAAAGGTAAGAGTTAGTAGTCAGTCAGAGAGTTGGGTGAAGTTTTTCTGCCCTCCACCAGGGGGCACAAGAAACATCCCAATTGTAGGAGTGAGAGAATATTTTTCTTAATATGAGTGACTTCAATAATACCAAAACCTTTAAAACTGAGATCAGCCTTGAAGACAAAAGTTAATGCATACATTTAATTCCTGCAAAACCAAAACAGCAATTTAGTTACTTCAATCAGTCAAAATCACGGAGGTAAAGAAAAGCTGGAATTTTTTTTACATTTGTATTTAACAAAATACAACTGTTCCACTGTTGTGTTTGTCTCATCAGTTACCAGAGAGTTGACCCAAGGGTAACTTTTTCATCACTGTCTGTCAACACCCAAACAAAGGTAAAGGGGAGAAAGCCATGGCAACCATAAGCGACGGGTGGATTTGTCTTTGAGTTAATAATCACCCTGTATTATGACACAAAGGACGACAGAATCTACGCTTGTGTGCAGGTTAATGCGGAGAACCGAGCAGGAGAGTGGAGACTGTGATCACGTTTCTTTAGGTTGGAATCACGACACACATTTTGCAGCTTCTTTTTAGGTTAAAAAATGTCAGGCTTTGTCATCGTTTGCGCTCCTTTAAGTAATTGAAGGTCATGAAGTTCAAAGGAACTTAAGCCTGGATATAATGGACTGAATTTTAACTTAATCAAGACAGACAGTGCACGTGACTTATTTTTCCACAGGACATACTGTACTCTATTATTTTGAGCATTAACTTTCCACTGCAGGAAACCAGGTGACAGCGAGGTCTCAAACAAAGACAGGTTAGAGGAAACAACTGAGCAGTTTTAGCTACAAAGACACACAGGATGCTTTCAATTTGAATAAGATCAGACAACACCTTTAAAAGCATGCACACTAACCTGTCAACAATTAAACCAGCTCATCAACTCCTCATAAATATAGCATTTTGGACGTGGGGCCTATTATTTCAACACACGCACCTGTTGCCTGACTTTATATTGTCACACATGACCTACGATGATACCTACAATAAAGGATTTAATAAAGAGTTTACAGGATTCAAAAAAGTATTAGAGGAAGGCCCGGTTAGCACCTGTTAAGAAAATCAATCTATTTTGCGGTTGAGATGATAAGATGATAACTGATGGACACATATCTGACATCCTCAGCCTACAGAGAATCTAACACTGTTCAGAATCTGTTATATTTTAAGTAGTTATATATAAGTTAAAATTCTACTGAATTGAGTAAAATCTCCCACTTTTAATTCACAGTTCCAAATTGATTACAATGAATATACTAAAGCTGTGTCCAGATTCCTTTTCCAAACACTTCAAATCAGGAAATTGTGACAAATGTTACTGACAGAAGTTGAGGCAGGTTGTCCTAGCTTGAGTGATGGAGGTTATTGTCTTCATCCAGTCAGGGTTCAGGTTTATAGGTTTAGCTGTACTAACTTAGTAGGGTTATGGTTAGGGGGTTAGGGGTAGTCCATGAAGTTGTTTCAGCAGGTGATTCCTACTGTCGTTAACAAAGCTGGGAGTCTAATCACCAGCTCCCTCGACATCTTAGGGATACCAATTGTTTGCTAACGAACACTATGAGTTTGCTGAGCTTCAAACTGCTTTAACAGACTGATATGTAACTGGCTCCATGTGCTAATTCAGCCCTTATTTCTGGAGGGCATGACAGTTGGAGAACATCTCATGCATGTAGCTGATAAACACAGGGGGACTAAAACTCAGTACATCAAGCATAAATGTAATCCCAGAGGGAAACTACTAAGTCATAAAACTGAAAAAGGTCACAAGCTGTAAAGTAATTTAACGATTCCCCCAAGTTATTTGAAAATCCTGGTTAACTCAATTACATGGTTGCTTCAAGTCTCTAAACTCGCCAAACTTTTAATTAAACAACTTTTATTCAAGAAACAGTAACAGGCCTATCCAATTATCACACGTGATGTAATTATAACCTTAGACACATTGCTTGAGGCCGTAATGAAAACTTTAAAAGCAAAACTGATGCATCATCTGAGCTAAAATATCACCAGACTGCAGCCTGGGATGCAGCGCCGTGATGTCACTGACCTGCTGAGGGGAAGAGAAGGCAGACGTCTTTTAGTCGAGTGAAGTCAGCTGAATCTCCAATAATTAAATCACAACATAATCAGCGTCTCACTGCCAAACTGTTGCTTTATGCGGCTCACTTAGAAAGCAGACAAATACATTAAGTGCCATTTGGCTGCCACACTATCCCTCCCGTATCGAGATGACGGAGACAGAAACTGAAGATATCGGCTCAGGGAGTCTGACCAAGTCTTAATATTGTCTGGGTCTTTATTTTTAATGGATTCCAGTTAAGGTTGACCACAATGATGATCAATGGTTCAGCTTAAAGACTGTAATACACCGTCTAATTATACTGACTTCTTCAGTTGGTAAAGTTCCTTTTTGGATTATCAAAAAGTGTCTGAAACTAAACACATTTCAAGCATACACCTTTAAACATCATCTTTAACTTAGCAATACATTTATAAATCTCATTATAGAAAGAACAGGCTGTTTCTGTGTCTGTGGCTTTAAATGCAAGGGAGCTGTGTTCGATCACGCCCCTCTAGAAAGGCTTGGGCTTTCTTGCACCAAGGCTGAATGTTTACGGTGAGAAGGCAGACTCAGAGGGCAGAACAAACACCTAGCTGTGGGAGTATAACCTATCTGCAGTAGGGGCTGCTGCCCTTTGTGATGTCACAAAGGGAAAATCTCCAAACAACTTGTTTTGAGCAGACATTTTCTGAAAATTGGAGATGGCAAAAGACAAGGGAGGTTGGACATTTTTCATAATTGGGTGGTTTGTAGACAGGCTAGAAGTGACACATATTAGTGTTAAAAAAAAAATGGTAAAGTGTATTTTGCATAATATGTGACCTCTTAAACTGAAGTGTTGCTCCAAGGAATGCATGCAAGAGTTTTATTTGAAAATAATTCATATAACAGGCTAACATCGCTGCTCAAAAATGTGGCACACAGACACGTTAAAAGGTGATGGTTTTAGAATTTTGTTTAGCTCTATGTAAGATGAACAAGTGATGGAACTTCTCCAAAACATTTCAAAGGATTTTTTTTTTAATTCCCCTCTTCATTCTCATGAAATCTAGGAGACAAATAGTCAGCAGGAGACAGCGGAAAGATGGAGAGTGAGGGGAAGTTGTTGTCAGCTAATTTCATTAAGAGGACATTAGACACTTAGACATTTAAATGCATTTTCCTATTCCTCAAACAGATCTGTTTAGTGAAGTAAAGATCTATAACTGAGTGTGACATTGTCTAATCATAAGCAGGGAGTCTAAAATGTCCCTTCCTCCTGCACAGATCCATTTACTTCTATCAGTTCAGTCTCTGAAAACACTCAGAGATGTGATAGTTTACCTTCTGACAGAGGCAACACATCCAGTAAAATCAGTTTTACAAGTTCTTAGCCACAGGCACAAGAACAGTGTCCTTAAGTGTGGTGTCGACACAGCTGATGTCAACATCCAAGATTTTGTTGTTTGTTCGCATGACAGATGCCGCTGTCATGTGAAAACTTCCTTGCTCCAATCATGGTTCATTTTCATATTTTCATGCTTGTAGATCACATGTTGTCACTATGGTACCGATTATGCTCTGCTAGCCTCTCCAGATTGTGACTGAGAGAATGTAAACAACATGATTTCCAATGATACAAACTGTGCTATGTTGTAACACCGTCTCTTCCAGAACATTCTGTGCATCTCTGTCTATATGATGCTTGACATAACAATCGAGGGATTTAGGGGAGACTCATCAAAGTCGTACTATAAGATGTGTATAAATCAGAGGCACAAGGAGTGTGTTGCAAAAGAGATGACTGCATATCCAGTAATCAATCAATCACAGGGGAACATGGTTTTGCAGGCATTGTGTTTGAGGTGTTCTGTAAGTTAACTTTAAGTTGTTTTAGCTGTCTAGAGCGACCCCCCCTCGTGCCAGGAGGAACTGAATCAGGGGAAACATAGTGTGAATTTTAGACTCAAATGCCACAAGGAGAATCAGAGATTGTGTTGACTTTGTCTGAACAATCCTTGGCTGAACAAATAGTAGCCTTAAACGAATGGAGAAAGATTTAGTCTTAGATGAAAAGCAAAGTATAGCCCATCTAAGATGAAAGTAGTGCATTGACTTGAATGGAAAACTGTTTTTAACAAGGTCAGAAGTCAGTCTTAATTTTTCATGTTTTTGTCAGTAAACCAAACAACTTCAGGTGTTTTGGGGGTGTCAATTGAATCATTTAAAATACATCCTCATCCTGATCACAGCTCGTAACTTGGTTTAGTCACAGAGTGATGACTCATCAGATTAGACTCCTCTCATCACTGTGACAGCTGCTTCTGTCACTAATCACTTGAATCAGGTGCAACACAGCTGAGCTCCGCTCACAAGATGGAAAGAAAAACATCCTGCACTATGAAGAAATAGAACTTTTATTAGAAGTCAGGTAAATTTAAAGCAACAAGTAATAACAAAACACCCGAGTTATCTCTATTATCATGGAGAGTATGGGTAAAAAATATCATGCCATGGCTCAAACTTGGACTGCAAGAACTGTATGTTAGGGCTTCCAACAATTGTTGTTTTATTTATTGGTTGATCTACCAGATCATTTCCTGGATTTATTAAATAGCTGTTTTAGTATAGGTGTGATTTGTTTCCTGGGGATTTGTTTCCTGGGGACAAAACTGTACCTTTAAAAAGTGAAAAACCACGACAAAATTAGTTTTTCATCGCATATATTAACCTAAAATTCAGTCGAGCAATCCTGTCAGTTCTTTATTTATTCATCAGGGTTAGAAACTGTTTAGTTTATCTTCTATTTTTCAAGTAAATACTTTTCTGCAAGCAAAAGTAGCTTTTTAGGGCTTCTATCTTTAACTTATCATGTTCACTTT